TCCCAGAATGCGGGGGCTATACAGCTCTTTTGTTAAAGAGATCAAATCTTTACTATGATATGAGCCTCAGGGAAGATCAGGAAGTCAAGACATATTCGAGCAGTCTCTACTAGCCTCTTACATGTTAAGATTGATATATCAAAATTATTTCAAGTTTAAAAAAATAAATAGGATAGTGATAAACAAATGCACATGAACAGATTCTTCAGTTAGATGGGGAAGGAGTTAAGACGATCACAGCCCCGACTAGATTTTACATCAAGTCTGTATGTGATGCTAATAAAGCGTAGCGCAATATACAATATAAAATAAATAATAATGGGCGTCTATAAAAAATTTAATTGAAAATAACAAATCACTGAAAAGAGAAGAAGAGAAGACATGTTCAAGCGACTATACTCCAAATTTCAGCTCTTTCTCTCCCGCACACACTCCAAGGCATCTGCCGGACTGTGCAAAACCAATATGCCCATTTAGTTTGGAGGAATGAACATAAGTGAGTTGCTCTGTCGCCTGTTAACGGGTGTTGGAAATAAAAGCGCCGCCTTGAGCCTAGCCCCTGGCGGCACCTCGATGAGTGAGTGGACAAAGTGGACGCGTCAGGAGTCGAGCTAATATAAAGCGAGCTAATGACAAGCCGCAGACACAGCCGAGACGAGGTCAGCGAGTGCGTCGCATCACGTGATTCGGGCCCATTCCGTCATAGAAATTCCGAAACTCTGCGAGACTCAGCGAGACTCCGAGAGTGGGTGGATTCTTGATGTGTCTTCGTTATGTTAATTGTTTGGCTTTTGACGAGCTGCGTCGCTGTTTGCTGTTATTGTTATTGTTGGCCCATTGTTGTAAGCCATAATTTGCGCGCTTATAACTCTGAAATTTTAACAGTCAACTCAAACGCAACGAAACTTTATTAATTGACTGTGCGAACCACAAACTTTGACTTCATTTAAGCTCATTCTTTTTGTTTTTCTTGATTTCCGCTTCCGTCAAACCGAGTTTACTTTTGCTTGTGTTTATGGTAATCAAACCTCCCCACCTCTTTGCCCGCTCGCCTCCACCTTAAGCTGACTTCCAACCAGCCGACACACCTGCCTAGCCCACCTGTGTCTGGGGCTGGCGTGGCATTTGGAAATTAAACCGCACTCGGCCCTTAAAATTTTATAACTTAATTTTTGCTCCACAATTTCTACCCTTCTCACTCACTCCACTCCACCCCACCTCTCACACTGCCTTTCAGACTTGCTCTCCCTCACATTCTCTCAATGTGTGTGTGCGTGTGTGTGCTTTGTTTTCGTCTCGTCGCTGGTTTTGGCATTTTTGTGAACTTTTTGATTTGATTTTTGCTTCAGCTCTACTTCTCTGTACTCATTCTATAGCCGTTCATGCGTTGAGTAAGCGGGTATATTGGATTTGTGCAAACCAAGTTTGTCTTTCTTTCGATCTGTATGAAAATTACAAACTCATAAACACCTCTCTTACGTTCTTTAGCATATGTTTCATAAAATATTTAGATATACCAAGAAACTAGCCTTATATAGCATAATAATATATAATATATATTTGGAGATAACACAGCATTGTACATATGAGAAAAGAGTAAATAAAAATATTAATCTTTTATAATCGAACACTGAGATTTTAAAAGAATGTTGAGAAATATATATAAATGAATAGTTTTTTATCAAAGTATTTTAGCAGACATGGCAAATCGGAACTATGCACATTCCAACTCATATAAACTTAGCTCATGTAGAGTGGTAGAGCTAGAGCTCTAAAGAATAATTTCCGGGACTTCCCCGTAATAAATGGGAATGAGGAATGGTAAATCAGTTCAAATTGAAGCACGAAGCCTACAATAAACTTTCATAGCTTTTTATCACTGATATTGTACTCTCCATCTAATATATAACCTATTCCCATTGATAAGGCTATCAATTCAAACATTAAGAAAAAAACAATTTTTTTTTTTTTAATTAAAGAATTTCTTATTAACAGCTTGAACAGGTATTAAGCAGTTGCCTACGCCCGCCTGGCAAGCTTTCAATTGTTTTCAGCTTCTGCTTCTTCATTCTTTTTTTTTTTTTTTTTTTTTTTTTTTTTTTTTTTTTTTTTGTGCATTGTTTCTTGTAGTTTGTCGTGGTATTTGTGCTATGCGTGTTGTCTGTTGGCGCACAATGGCGGGAAAGTGGCGCGCGATGCTATAGAAATTTGCCATGCGAATTACAATAATAAAGTGATGAAATTTATTTTATTTACAAGGAAATACTTACGAGCATTAGCTGCGCTGATAAGCATGATCTACGGCGGTATATATGTATATATGTAAGTATATGTATATATATGTGATTACATGGGAATTCAAATGAGCTGCGATAAGGCAGCGATTGTCGCAGGATTAGGCCAGCAGGCGTGCCAAAGAGCCATTTGAGTGTGATTGAAGGGCTGCATAACTCAATTGCTTAGCGGTAATTGTGCATTGGCAAGAAATTCAGAGCATTTGCCCAATCAGTCGTTTAACAAACCGAACAGCAGTAAAGCAAATGATAGCTGAGTAGCTGTACTATGTATGGGTAGGGATCAATATGCATAGACCCTTATCTTTTTAACTAGTCAGTAATTCCACAATCTTTCACAATTTAATAGCATAAAAGTCGCTGTAAAAAGAAATCTAGTCAGTAAACCAGTTGAAATTCCGGCCAGAGTCTCCTCAATGCTGAATTCCTCGTCTGACGTCGCCACCGCCACTCCCACACTTATCCTCTTAGCGACAAATACCCAACTAAAGAATCAGCCAACAGTTCACATACAATTCAATCAGCGTTGCAATTCTATTTATAGAATGCCAATAAGAATGCATGAATGAATGGCAGTGTGTGTGTGTGCGTGTGTGTGTGTGTGTGTGCGTGTGTGCGTGTGTGTGTGTGCGTGTGTGTGTGTGTGCGTGTGTGTGCGTGCGTGTGTTTGTGTGCTCACGCATAGCGCAAATGCCTGAGCTGTTTGGCTTTGTCAACTGGCCTCACGTTTACTTCAACAACTTTTACGCTTTTTAATGCATTTTTATGAATTTTTCAGCATATCAACAAAATGCACCATTCAATATGTAGAAAAATGTTAAAAATTCAAAAAAAAAAAAACAAAATTAAATAAAATAAAATCATATCCAATTCAAGAAATTAAATACAAAATTTACTAACTCTGCCTTTGAAAATGTGGTATATATAATAAAAAAAAATGAGCTGTATCTCTACATCTGCTATTGGGGTAGATCTTTGCCTTCAGTGCAGTTCGTCGGAGCTCTACAAAGACAGTTTAATCTATAAATTTCAGTATTCATTATGAAAGCAAATCACAATAATACAAAAAACGTAACAAAACCAAAGCATTTTCATTAAAACTCTCATTAAGTTGCGCAATTATTCCAATGTAACTATTTTAATAACACTAATTTACCTTCAGCTTGCAGCTCTCGCTTTTGCCCTATGCCACAAACTGTAGTGAGTGAGAGAGAGAGAGAGAGAGAGAGAGAAAGAACGAGATTGAAGGAAATAAAATGGAGAATAAAACTGAATCACAAAACATTCATGCGCTGATGAATTCCTGTTTTGCTTTATGCTTATTAACTGCTTTGTTAAGCTCGAATTCTTTATATGAGAGTTGTTATATTCTTTTTTAGTATATAACAGAGCGCGCGGGTCATTAAGAGAGTTGGAGCTGTCGAAGGCGACATTGGGGATGTTTGGCAGAATGAAACTTGCCAAGCTGCGATTGCGGTAGAAACACATTTTATGCTTTGTTAATCTATATGCAAATGTGTATAAATATTTAATAATAATAGTTGAAATAATTGAATTTATGCGACTTCGGCATGAAATTGTGTAAAAACTATAGATAGTAGAAATTTGTTTATATTTATGATCTTCAGACCTCGTTTACTGGTAAAACTCTCATGATTTATAGATGAAATACAAGTTTAAGTAAGAAAGTATTATTATTTTAAATATTATTAAAAGATTTCCATAAGACTCCAAATTAAGCTTGAATCTTGAACTTTACATTCTGGCATATTGAGTTTGTAGGATCGTATATAGTATAATACTATATGTGGCATATGCTTAACATGTGTCGAGAATTTTCTGTGTTTAAGAGTGAATTTTTTGATAATTATAAAATTATATATATAGCAATTACCATAAGCTACACAATATCATATGCCAATCGATAAACTGTCATAAGAACATAAGGTTTTAATTTCAATTTTAATTCAACTTAGCCAATTTCAGTTTTAATTCAACTGAAGCTAACCAAAATCCACAATCGCAAATATCATTCTAAACATATTTTGCACTCCACCCGAATTTTGAATATATGTCTCTGCGGCTACCAAGAGAAATTAATTTAATATATTGTTTTATAACATTCAACAGCAACAACAAGCAAAACACCAAAATATTTATAAACAAACAGCGCTGACAATGCTTAAGCCCTCCAAATCCCTTTAAATTAATTGCCCGAGCAATTATTATAATCCAGTTCACAGATTAACACAAATCCCATCATAATTAGCAATTCAATGAAAACAATTAAATTTGCGAAGGTTTTTTGGGTAAGTTTTTCTCTATAGATGCCGTCGGCTTTAAGGTCTTTTGGGGCTTAGGGTTGAGATTTTGATAATTTATGCGAGTTTTGTAATGAGATGAAAATGCAACGCAATTGAGTTGAATTTGACTTCAAATCTCAACAAGGAAAACAGGTCGAAAAGACGGAAAATCGATTCTTTTTGTACCACAAAAGAAAATTCAAAGTTGACTGGGGAATATTTAGAATATACAAAAGGAAAATGTAATATATTTGCTATATCTAAAAATCTATGACAGCTGAGAAACTTTACACTTACAGAGTCTACCCCTCACCTTAAGTTTAGCTATTTGAACTATGTTATTTTAATTATATATAAAACTATAGAAAACTATCTATAGATAGAGTTGTTACTTTAGATATGCCACTAGGGAAATGTCCAGTTGCTTTCGCTCAGAGTTTCTCAGAGTTGGCTACATTGAGATTATTTAGTGACTTTGGTTCGTTTGGCGTTACAGGTGACTCAGCCGTATCCACGGGATCGCCGCGCTTCAGCCAGAACGGCGCCAGGCGCAGCATCAGAATGGCGCCCAATGGCGCTGTGAATATAATCGCCAGCACCGAAATGATGAGCACGTTATTGGGCAGGGACATGTCAATTGTGCCGTCGAACGAGCGAGCCAAATCCAGGGCGACGGGGCCCAAGGCAGCCTGCAAAGAAGAGGAAATAAAAGTTACAAAAGCACTTACGCTGCGTATACGTAATATAATATGCAAGCTTAGCTTGCAAATCTCGCATACGAAAGGCGGCTTCATTTCGAGAAAAGCTTACATTCCGAAGCACTTGGCACACCGCTTATTAAGCAACATTTAAGTAGTACACAAAGCCCTGGTCAGAGGTTTTTTATTCATATATATTATAGCCTGCTGGGTATAGAGGTATATAATAGTGCTGAGGCAATGTGTGTAACAGGCAGAGACACTTAAAGGGTTTGCTGGGCTTATATTTATAAATCGTTATATAACATATCCTGTATCACTACAAAATTGCAGAAATAGAACTCATTTCAAATATTATAGCCTTGATATGTGGGACACTCACATATTAAGCCATCATAGTCAAATCCTGAAAATTTCACTAGGATCATACAACTAGATCCTGAGTTCAATCAAGCTAGTTATCACACTAAAGTGCTACAGGCATTGCCAATGTGGCATGTCTATGTTATATGTATGTACTCAATAAGTCTATAATGATTCAACTATGTATATTCTCTACACATATTACAAGGTATCTGCTAATCGGTCACTCTCAACTTTTATATTTCGAATGAGTCCGCAATAAAAGAAAGGCATGAGAAAACCGCGCCAGCAACAACCGTTAGTTAGGTGAGCGAATGTAACGTTTTCATTTCGGCCAACCACAAAGAGGGAAACGCCACATAAGCGCGTAAGCAAAGGCAAGGCACACACACACAGACACACAATGTGAACAAAATGTCCTCTTGCGGTTCAACTGCAGACAATTGTCAAGAGCTGCTGCTGCAGCATCACAAACAACAACAACAACACGATCATGCGAAAATACGAATAACTTTGGGTTTTTGAGGAAAACAACATAACCCAAATAATGGCTGACCGAGAAAGCCAGGGGTACGGGTAATGTCCGGCACCGAAGCCAAACTGAACCAAGTATGATGACTGGAGAGGTCTATGCACGACTAGCGTATACCCTAGCCATATATTTTGAATTTGTGTACTCGTTAAAAAATACTATAAAAAGTAAAGGTAGAGTCTCTAGCTATAATTGCCTTCAAGCTAGGCCTCAACAACATATTTCAATATGATTTTTTATCGATATTATGAGAACGGGCTAAGATATTGAAGAAAAATAAAATAATTGTATAACGTATGGCATATTACGATATGCATATCACATTTCAAGTCTATAGCTGTTGACCTTCCAAGGATCGACGCAATTATATGCCAGCTGCTCAGAACTAGAGCAACTCATTTCACTCTGATCAATTATATATTTTTAGCAGCTGCCGTGCTCTGCAATATTTTATTCTGCTATCAGATATGCATTATACTAAAAAAAACCCATACACCAAAGTCTACAGGGTATATTGAAAAAGTTGCACTATTACATTGTGCCACACTATGGCGTAGAGCAGCCGCAACGCCGTAGCTGTTGTTGAATATGTTAACTTACTTGGACAGTTGCTTTGGGGAAACCGGAAATTGTAATATAGGCACGCTCCCTGCTCGACAGATTTCCGCCATATGTAGATAAATATGCAAAAGCCAAGCGTGCCTGCAAGGAAGCAAAACAAAACGGAAAAAGAGTTTTAAATTTGCGTCTTAAAGTATTTCAGCATGAGCGCAATTTGCCAGCATAGCCAATTACCAAACTGCCGAGCAATACAATCAGCACTCCGTAGCCAATGACGCGTCCTTCGAGCACAGCGAAATTGATCTCCTTGCCAATGAGCGCAAATGAGACGGGCTTCAGGAATTTCCACAGCACATCCAGACGCTTCGGCACACTTGCCTAGAGATTGAATAGAATTTTGAACCCGAATTCACATTTCGAATGGAACAGCTCCAATCCGAGCTGAGCGAGCTTACGATTTCATACGCCTGCWGCTGCTGTGGCGTCATCTTGAGCACCTCCCGCTTCCAGCCGACGCCCGCTATGCAGGCCAGCATAACACAGCCGAGAGGACCAGCCGATGTATAGCCAATGGCTCGACTGCCCATCACGGCTATTGTGCCGCCCAGCACAGTCAGGACAAAGCGCAGTCCGTTCGCATAGACCTAATAAAGAGATGAGACGGGAGGAGATAAAGTAGAAACATGAGTGAAAATTTTGTTTCCGAGCTAGCAGAAGGGAAAATCAACGCAGTAACCAGTATAGTTCTTCATTAAATTTCATTTTGCTCCGCTTCATTCTCAATTGCATTATGCTCGCCTAGGACATTCACATTAACTATTTTCCTGAACTTCGGGCTAATAATGCATGGCCTCACGTTCGACTCTGCAGCCAAGGATATTTTTCGGTTACATGCATTTTCAGCTTACTTCTGTAATACTTTCATTTCAATTCTATGCTTCCCTTACTTACTTCTACAAATATATTCTACACAACACGTCTCCTCTTTAGTTTTAAATAGAGTTTTTCAAATTTTTATCTGATGTGAACAAATTATTTATTTTTCTATACTATTCTATTCATTCGTATTGTATTGGAATAGTTAGTATAGGTCAGCTTTGTTCTTCTCTCTTAAAATATTATATATCTGTGCCTTCTATGAATATACCAAAAGCTGCCTTGGTATAGTTTGAACATAGAAAATCGGACGGAAAGTCTGCAAGACAAATAAAATTATGAGTAAAATAAGTTTCCATCGAATTTGTTGCTCTAGGCATTCAGGTATGTATATACTCTTCCGTTTCTAGATCTAATATTTTGAAAGATCATATAGTTAAAAATGTTCTCTATGTAAAGCGATCGTAAAACCTAGCCCCTCGCTTAATTTTTTAAACAGTGTATTAAATACCAAAAGCAGTAATTTCTAGTTAAAAAAAAATGTTTTCTAGAACGTGTTGGCTGTAAACGAGACACTTACACACAGTCAGGCACAGTCAGGCCCGTCCACCCACACACAAACGCACACACACACACACACACACGCAGTGACAATAAATAGAATGTATGCAGGAATCTTAAGAGTGGAGAAGCAGCAAGCGTGGAGCACAGCATGACATTTTTGTACACTTTAGCAATTTTTGCTCTGTGGCAAGTGGAAATGTTGCAGAGGAAAACAAAAGTTATGAGTGGTCTATGTATGCGAGAGAGAGAGAAAGAGAGAGAGAAAGAGAGAGAGATGGTGGCATATGCATTTCCGTGCAAGTTCAAAAGGCAGTTCAGTGCCACCCATGGCGTTTGATTATGCGCACCATTAGCGGTGTAAGTTGCAGCAATGAGTTTTGTGGCTGCGGCTGCAATGGAAGAGCTGCAGCTCCTGCTCCGACTTCAGCTAGCACCGACTGCCGGCTGCACAGCATAGCCAAGCATAGCCCAGCTCCGTGCAGCTGTGTCATAAGTTTCCAGGGATGTTGCCGGCAGTAACTGTCGTCGCAAATGTCGCCAGCTTCGGTGGCAGCGTCGACAACGCGTCGTCGCTTTGAATCTAAGTGTATTTTTATGCAAAATGCGCCCAAAATACACTCACACGCACACACACATGGACACGGACACAAAGACTCGCAAATTTCTCTTATACATATTCTGTTATATACATATAGATGTTATATAAAAGAAGCTGCAGTTCTAGCACACATGCGAGAGAGAAGGAGCGAAACTTTTGAGCGCCACGTTTTATGCCATTAAATGCTCTGATTGAGTGTGTAGAAGTGTTCACTGAACAGCGTGATGCAGTGAAAGTCAACTATAGCTGCGAGGGTGGTCACAGAAGTAACAGCAGAGAGAGAGAGAGAGAGAGAGAGAGAGAGGGGTGGAATGTGTGACTGGATAAAATTTGTAAAAGCTTGAATTTGTTACTCTTCTAGAATCTAGAATCGGGATCCAGATTGAATACTATTTGGAAAATTTTAGCATATTTGTGATATGGTGCAAATTATTCACAATATTTGATCGATGTTGAATTAGTCTAGACTTTATATGATGTAATTTTTAACTACATAGTTTTGGCTTGCTTCAACAAATACCACAGTATTTAAAATGATGAAATAATATCAAATTGTCGATTTTTATCGATACCAACGAAAAAAGATTTTCTAGTTCCATGTCTCTAGCTTTTAGACAAACATTCAGTCGGACAATCGCACAGATGGTCAGAGAGTCGGATATACAGACGGACATACGACGCATTCCTACATATACTTTATGGGGTCAGCTAAGACTTCTACAATTACATAAAAGCCACTTAAATAGTCATTTTCAATGAATTCGAGGTATAAGAATACAAATTTATGGTTCTTCTAGCAGCATCCACTTAGTTGAGTCTGCCTCAAACTAATTTGTTATTAAAAAATATAAAAATAGTATCGTCATTTGAAAGTTAGCTAAGGGAACTCTCTGGCAATTTTAGTAGTATCCAAATAATAGTTCATCAAAATTCCTTCGACTTTTTTTTACTAAGCCATAAACGTTATAAGCACCCCTCGTGCATATAGACATTGAGTGGCTGCCATGCTTACCGCATTTCGCGATGGCAAATAGTGTAGCAGCATGCCATATAGATAGCCGAAAACAAGTCCAATTCCAATACCAATGGGTCCTTGCAATAGTTTCTGCAGCAGCGGGTCTGTAAGCAGGCAAACAAGCAAGCATGTGAGTACCCCTTGCCAGGGGCAGGCAGACAGACAGTTCATATTCGGCTGTCACGTACTTGTTGAGAATATCATGCTGATAACGGCGCCGAACAGGAAAATGGCCACGACATCGTTGCACGTGGTCATTGCATAGATGAGTGTGTGAATGCCGCTGTTCAGGCCCAATCGATCCTCCTTCAGCTTCAGCATGACTGTGACAACCACATTCGGCGAGACGGCCGTGATGACCAGCCTAGAAGATAAACAACCCACATAAATACATATCCATATATACATATATATATAAACATATATATCTGTCATCTTCAGTTCAGTTTGTCTGCTCATGTTGTACTTACCCCAGGGCTAGGCCCCACAGCCAGGGCATGGAGAGTGTGAAGTAGGCCAGCACGGCTATTATGGCCACCTCAGCTATTGTTGGCAGTAACGTCAGTCGCAGTATCATTAGCCACAATCGACGAAAAGCGCCAGCATCCAGCCCCAGGCCAGCCAACAGCATAATATTTATCAAAGCTAATTCTCTGCAATAAAAGAGCACAAAGAACACTTTACTACAGAGCTGATAAAAGGATTGACTATTGTTGGTTATGCATTTGTTGAAACTATTATTGACGCTTATAGAGAATTTGAACGCAAAAGCAGTTAATGTCCTTTACACATTAAGCACCGCATTTATAGAGATTAATACCTGAGCTTCAGCTTAAACCAAGCTTACGATTATTTTTTCTATTTTATGGCACTCTATTAGAAAGCGTTACAAAACTGTTATACATGTATGGTGGAAAATTTTGAAAGCTAAGCTTATAGCAAAGGCTGATGTTAATCTATCGATTATTGTTATCGAAGCTGGGATTTGTGCGACACTCATTTTTATTGCCCTAAAAATCTCAAAAGCATAACTGTTATACTAAACTGTTATACCTTACCATTTTAGTCCCTCCCACACTTACCTTAAAAACAATTCGAAGCGTTCGTAGCCCTCGAAGTTGGCAAAGCCCACATTAGTGTAGAGTACACCGAAGAAGAGCATGCCCAGCATGTCGGGCAGATGAATGAAGGTCACCAGTATGCCAGTTATTTGTGCACCCACAAACAGTAATATAATGCGCATGATGGTCGTACTTGGAGCCGCATAGCTGGGCAATATTGCCATGGCCAATGTCCAGAGGCCCAGAAAAATGGCGAACAGCGCGACATGTTCCGAGACGAGACTCCAGTGTAAGACTAAATGCCGCCACCTATATGAGAGAGTTGTAAATGGAGCAGAGGTAATGTTTTATATGAGCTATATTCATAATGATACCCTGGGATCTATACAAAGCGTATATTGGTTTTGAGTGATTGTATGTAGTAGTAGTAGAAGGTGTACAAGACATTATAGAATATACATATGTATATATGCAACATTAAGATGATAAAAATTATTCGATATTGTCTTGTTCGGCTAATCATTGATTGTACGCTAATCTCGAGAACTATCTGAACATTAAATTTGTAACTTTGTATACATATTGTGATATGTCAAACGCAGTGTTGTTTAAATATTTTTCTTCATTCCAGTTACATAATAATATGATATGGCTTTCATTTATAATTTTTTGTTGTAATGTCACCGAGCTCTGATTAATTGTTTGCTGATTCTACTTCCCTACATTCTATATATCAAATATTTATATCTGATATGGCATATATACAGTCTGTTTGTATAGAAGATGATTTCAAGCGAAAACTATAAATAAACTCTAGAGTATATCAGGGTCATAAACTCCCCATATAATCTTAGCTCTTATATTTCTCTGTATTCCCCCTGGCTCACCTAAAACCCCCTTTCGTGTCAGCTGCCGAATTTATAATAGACAAATTGCTTTTAATTGTTTCCTTTGTGTGGGTATAAAAAGCCTTCGGCTCAGCTCCGTCTCGACTAGAAATGACTACGCAAACAGAGCGCACAGACGCCATTAACTGGGTATTGAGGATAATGCGCCTTGGAGGACTCTGGCCGCTGTCGACGTCCAGAGAGGAGCCCCCGTTGCTGGCATTCCTAAAAGTCAACTACCGTTATGCGCTACACGTGCCAATCACATTCACTTTCATTGGACTCATGTGGCTGGAGGCGTTTGTGTCCAACAACCTGGAACAGGCCGGCCAAGTGCTCTACATGTCGCTGACAGAAATCGCGCTGGTTGTGAAAATTTTGAACATCTGGTATCGGAGCACAGCTGCCCGGCGGATAATGGGCCACATGAAGCACTCAAGCGACTACGAGCTGCAGTCGGAGCAGGAGCACAGCTATTGGCAGCAGCAGCAAAGGCTCTTCAAATGCTATTTCTATTTGTTTCTGCTCGCGAGTCTGGGCGTGGTCTACAGCAGCTGCATTGGCGTTCTGTTTCTGCACGACTACGAGCTACCCTTTGATTACTTTGTGCCCTTCGACTATCGCAATGAGCGCAGATACTACTATGCCTACGGCTACAGCCTGATTGGGATGACTGTGACGAGTGTCTCGAATGTTTGCCTCGATGCACTCGGCTGCTATTTTCTCTTTCACCTATCCCTGCTCTATCGCCTGTTGGGCACCCGAGTGAGGGGACTGGAGTATGCCGCTGGTGAAGCGGAATTCAAAGAGAAATTGGTCATCATTTTCAAGCTACACAATCGCATACGCAAGTAAATTGAGCTGAGTACGACATGTCGTATACTTAATCTCTGTTTTCCTTCAGCTTAACTTTCCAGATCGAGACTTTGGTCTCGCCCTACGTTCTCTCCCAGATCGTGCTGAGCGCCTTCATCATCTGCTTCAGCGGCTATCGCCTGCAGCACGTGGGCATCCGCGCCAATCCGGGCCAGTTCATATCCATGCTGCAGTTCCTCAGTGTCATGGTGCTCGAGATATTCCTGCCCTGCTACTTCGGCAACGAGGTCACCGTCTATGCCCATCAGCTGACCAACGACGTCTACAACACCAACTGGCCGCAGTGCGACAAGCGCAGCCGGCAGCTGCTCATCGCCTACATGGAGCACCTCAAGAAACCCACCAAGATTCGGGCTGGCTATTTCTTCGAGGTTGGATTGCCCATTTTCGTTAAGGTTGTCGTCAGATATTCAATATTCACTACTTAGTATACCTAATCGAAATATATTATCTACCCATTTTCCTTTGCAGACCATGAACAATGCTTACAGCTTCTTTGCCCTACTCCTCAATGCTTCGAAGAAAACTTGATTACTTTGTGAATCCTGCAATCTAATTATATAATTTAACGAATTTGTTATAAAATATCACAAATAAAATGCAATTAAAAACCAAACTTTGTCTACTGTCTGTATTCTAGTTTTTATGGAATGTTTCAGGTACCCATTGCAAATATCTGACAAATCTACAGAGGGAAAAAACACCCTTAGATATGATGAATAATGAAATGCTAAAGCTCTATACACCCTTTAGCTCATGAATATGTCTGTTTATGCCCCTGTTCATCCCTGATTATGATATTATGATCTATTATGGCTTAGGACTACGCGAAACTTATCAAATCAAAATTTATATAGGGCAGGATGATGACAAAATTTAATTTTGCTTCGGTAAAGTTTTACATATATGCAACTCAGGAACTTAGATACATTTATGACATAAATTTTATATATAAGGGAATAGAAGAATAGATATTGAGATGATAATCTATCCCAAATGTCAAGCATATCGGAGTTTCACTTTTCAAATATTAAATTTCTTAAAAGAAACAGTTAATTTGAGACACCTTTGCGCTCATGCCGAGCCATATATTGTCAAGGCCAGAGTTATCCAAGCACTGAATGGTATTTGAAAATATTATCAGTGAGAAATCGCGTGACTCAGTCAATAAACGATTAATAACAATTAGGGTTATTTAATATGTCAACGAGCTAATTATTGTAATTGGAACTTGGTTTTAAATACGTAAATATGACGAGCAATTAGAAATGCGAGCAGGGCTGGCAGCTCTTGATGAACGGAACTAGTTCATTTTGAACGAAAACTCACATTAATCATTGCAATTAATGAGATTTGGATTCAATCTAGAACAAGTATAACAGTTCAGCTGGGAACTAAAGTAAGCTCGATGAAATGACTGTAAATGAAAGAGGGTTGACATGGAGAAAGGCGGAGAGGGGCGAGAAAAAGAGAGAGAGAGAGAGAGAGAGACAGTATGGCATCTGAAGTTTTGAATATACAAGTTGTATTTGAGAGGCATTTATAAAATTTTCATGATGTTTAACCGAAGCCACAAAGTCTATAAAAGCAGCTAATTTCTAGCTGCTAACTAGGCATTGAGTGCTAAGAGCTTTAGGGAAAATGTCAGATACTATGGACCGCATACTGGCCATACGGAAGATAGTTACAGTTAGCCGTTGGTTTGGCCTCTGGAAGTGGCGAAATGAGGACAATGGATGCCAGATAATGAGGAAAATCTATCCATTTATTCTGCATCTGCCACTGAGCTTCACTTACACAGCGCTCATGTGGATGGAAGTGATTAGATCTGAGGACGTGACGCAGGCTGGCAATGTTCTATACATGGCGCTGACGGTGCTCGTAATGCTCGTCAAGATTTTTAACATCTGGTACGGACGCCAAGAGGCCTTTGCCTTCATCGATGAGCTGGAACGGCATGAAATCTACAAATTGCTGAGAAGTGAAGAATTCGTGTTCTGGAAGCGCGAGCAGAAATCGTTTCAGCGCATCTTCTACACCTACATCGCAGGCACCGTAGCAGTTGCCTTGACTGGCTACTTGAGCGTGCTCTACCAGGAGTCGTACGAACTGCCCTTCACCTATTACGTGCCCTTCGAGTGGCAGAATCCGCAGCTCTACTACTACGCCTGGGGCTACAATGTGCTGGCCATGAGCTTGTCCTGCCTCTCCAACTGCCTGCTGGATACGATGGGCTGTTACTTCATGTTTCACATAGCTCTGCTCTATCGGCTCATGAATCGACGTCTGCTGGCGCTGAGGGAAGCGCCCGAGGTGAAGGCTGTTCCAGAGTTGCGACACCTCTTTCAGCTGCACAAGCGCGTTCGCAGTCTCACAAAGCAATGTGAGACCCTGGTCTCGCCCTACGTTGTCTCGCAGGTTGTACTGAGCGCTTTAATCATTTGCTTCAGCCTCTATCGTGTGGTGCAAATGGGCAAGTCGAGCACAGGCGGCTTAGCGACGACTCTACAGTTCGTGGGCGTGATGATTGTGCAAATCTTTCTGCCCTGCTACTATGGCAACGAATTGACCGTCTCGGCTAATCAGCTGACAAACAGCGTATTTAACACCAATTGGCTGGAGTATTCGGTGACTACGCGAAAAATCCTCAACTGCTATATGGAGTTCCTGAAACGTCCTGTCAAACTGCGTGCGGGCATGTTCTTTGAAATAGGTCTGCCCATATTTATGAAGGTCAGCATAGCCCAATATTCATCATCTATTCATCTTAATTAATTACCCCTTTGTCTGCAGACCATCAATAATGCATACAGCTTTCTGGCCTTGCTCATCAATTTGTCCAAGTAGCCGCTGTGCCCCGGAGCTTCACCTCACCCACCTCACACAATCTCTCTGATGCTCTCTAGTCGACTTTAATAATTGCCCCACTCATTTCAATGCTGTCTCTAAACCCAAAAACTAGGCACATCAACGCTGCGCATAAAAGCTTAACACCAAGCCCCCAAAAAAAAAGAAAAAACAGGAGAAGTTGAAGCAGCAGCAGAGTCCTAACCCAGACGAGGCAACGGAAACACTTTTTGACAATATATATAGACACTGACAGTGCAACATTTGCAGCACATAAAATAAACACAAAGCAAAATGTAATGTATAACAACAATAAGCAACAAGCTCAACAACAAGTAGGCGTGAATGCGTTGGGTGTACACGACTAGCAGATACCCGAAGACCGTCATCAAGGCATATGCTATGCACACACAGACACACACACAAACATAAGCTCCACATACTGATGAGGCTGTTTTTCCCTCCGTTCTCTACTATGATAAATGGTTTAATTGAACTCTGGTTCCAGATATCCCATTTGAACGAAATGCTCAGTGCATGACTATGACAGCCAAATTTGTATGTGCTTTAAGCCTGAGCGTCTGTCATTTGGAATGAGTTATTTTATAAATTCCTTGGGCGGATAAGTAAGTAACCAAAAATGGAAATATTGCTGTTAGGATGTTAGGATACCTTCTTCCCAAATTGGTAGCAATAGCCTTTATGGTGTTCAAGATATGCATGCAGAAGAAGCAAAGTATTATAATATGATGTTATATGATATTCTGGGATACATATTTCAAGTTTCAAGTATGTTGTTTGTATAGCTCCCGAGATTGTCGTACCTCTGAATATAGACAGAACAGAATTGCATGAATGATTGACGGAATAAATAAGGTCGGATAAGTAGAGGAAGGACCAATGACGAACGGATGAATAATGGACAGGCTAATGAAGAGCTGAAGGTCGAATTAAGAGCGAACTTATGTAAGATAGACCAATGAAGGACATTCTAATGGAGGTCTAATTTAGAAGAAATCTACGAATCAATTAGCAAGGCTATATTAAGTCAGCTTATCAAGTCTATATATATATTATACCTGCTAGGCTCGCTAACCTCTTCTGCTGCATTCGCACAAATCAAGTATACCTCTTTAGCGCGCTCAAAGGGCTCTAGGGTATTTAAGGGATATGCGAAAAACGCGTGCATTGCCAGTGTGCATGCATGTATGTCTAACGGTATTTATGTATGTATGTTTGTSTGCTTGTCTGTGCCGGAAGTGCATTCAAAAGAGTTAAGCAAAAGCGCACACATACACAAAGAGAGCGAGAGCGAGAGAGGGAGAGGGAGAGAGAAAGGCCCAGGGAACTGAGTCCAAAAATGTGCTTAGGCCCCATCAGCCCCTGCAGCAACCCCTGCTCCTGCCCCCGCTTCTGCCCCAGCTACAGCTGCCGCCCCAATGGAGCCTTTTCCACTTACCACTTGGGTCCTTTGTAGTGCTCGCCGTGCGCTGAATAACCCCGGCCATTGGTGTCAGTGTCTGCTGCATTCGGCCGGCTATTGTTGTGTGCTGCATTCGGCGGCGGGTTTGTTAAATTTAATGATGTCGGCGTTAAAATTATTGTTGCTGCATTTTGTGGCTGCGTCTCGGCTCCATCGCGGCCGCCAACGATTTCAGACGAGCCATTATGGTCCTGCTCCTCCTCGGAGAAATTCTGTATGTCTAATTTAGTATGTGATGGCTGAGCGGAACAGTCAGCCGCACTCTTCGCATCGTCGCATTGTGTCATCCTGCTTGGCTGCTGCTTGCCGCGCCTGACTGTAAGTAGCGAAAGCGGGCAAAAACATGTTAAATACTCAAATGTGTTGATCCCATTGGGAGAGCTGTAAGTGGTAAGTGGTAAGCGATAAACCAGGCATACCCAGGACAAGTGACTGCAGCAGCAGGGTATGCTAGTTTTGTGTACAGAGTTAGTAAAGCACATGGATGAGGTTAAATCAATCATAGTTAAGCGCTGGGGCTGATTAGAGTCGATGGGACTGTGGAAGTTAGTGTCTGTTATCGGAAGGAAAGTGAGCCCTTTTCCTAGGAATTGCCTATAGAAATTGACTTGCTCCATTATACTTAGTAAATTGGCTTCTTTAGATATGGAATGAGCGTGTCATGAACTCAGCACATGTACAAAATATTAGTCTTCTAAAATATCAGCATCTATTCCATACTTCCCCCTACTCCCTACTCTCTCTACTCAGTTTCCATTTTCCATGAAATCTATGCCAAACTTTAGCTTTCTTAGCATATGTATGGTATTTAATCTATATGTTATATGGATTGTCTTTTTCAATTTTGTTTGCCCTTTTATCACATTGCTTTTCCATCATCCTTTATCCAATTTCAATATCCCATTGAATCATACACATGGCATCACATGTAAGATACTTTCAACAATAGTTCGACACAACTTACAGGGTATCTGCTAGCCATTCACTCTTCAACAAAACCCTCTTTCTTGTTTCTCCCATTGTTCTTCTACTTTCCTGTTGCCTGTCTAACCTACAACACAGCAAATTGGTTATAAGTGCCAGAATGTTGCATTTTGCATTCATCTGTTTAGCTCATGCATAAGTAAAGAGCGCGGAGGAGGAGGAGGAGGAGGAGGAGCAGACGACAGCAAGACGACATCTGCAACGCCCCCACCGCCCTGTCTCACGTTTGAATTGTAAAATTCAACAACGGCGCAGCAGCGGAATACCTCAAGACGTTGCTGTGATGACAGCCAACTCTGAAGATTGCAACAGCGATTGACAGTCGCTGATTGCGCTCAACTGCGATGGCAGCAGGAGCAGCAGCAGCAGCAGCAGCAAAGGTGAAGCTTGACAGAACAGTTAAGAAAGTTCTGGTCGAGTGTATCCGACTAGGAGATACCTAGCACAGATGCTGCATTTGTAGATATTATAATAAGATTGTTGTATAACACATACATGAACTCATATGGAATATGAGATGACTGATTGAACTCTGGTTCTAGATGTAAGATCTCAATGAACTTTTAAGAGCATGAATAAAATCTATCAGCTTGTGTGTATCTTAGCTCTATCTATCTATCCCTCTATCTAACGAATAATTTTCGTAATTACAATCTTATGGCCTTATACGCTTTAAAAATCAATTATAAAGATTTATCGATATCTAGATTTATCGATAGCAGGAAAATGTTCTCAGATATTGTAAGTAAATGTCAGCTTTCTCTATATGGGGTATATACAAATATACGTTTGAAACGGCAGGTCTAGAGTTTGTATAGTTTCCGACTTTGCTGCATAGTCTGAAAGACGGAAAGATGGGAATATTAACATGTTGGAATCGACTTAATTTCATTCGAGAACTTATCAACTGGATGGCTTCATCCACTTCTTCTACAAACCACAAGCCAATGACATCAACTCCAACACACCCCATTTACCCACTTTCGAAAGGGGTACTCAAAAGTCTAGCCATAGTTGTCCTGGGCTGAGTTGGGTTAAAGTGCTCCTATCGCTGCCTTCCGACCTGGCGATGTCAACACGCCACCAAATTGGCATATTTGTTGCTGACAACAAACTTCTTTGCAAGATGTCAGCTAATTAGAAATATTTCCAGATTTCGGCTGGGCTCTCTTTTCGGGAAAGAAATAAAACTGGATTCAGTTTAGTTAGCGAGCAAATTCGATGTAATTAGCACTTAATTTGATTTTCTCGCTAACCGGTTTAACATTCGATCGCTCCCAATCATCGTATTTACATATATTTCGACAAATCAATCCATTTGCAGTTTGTCACCGAGCAGCGACGACTTGTTAATTGATTGCTAATATTATTGATGTCGAGCTGGGAGCATTCCTTAACGTGGATCACGTGCCAATTTTGGATTAACCTGTCACGCGACTAGCGAAAACATCTAAATGATCGCCAAGGCTGTCAATTAACATTCGCAGTTTTCTAAAGGCAAAACACATTTCAATTAGATCTAACTGATAAATGACAAGAGATCAATTAACTTGCTGCAAAGTGGAAATGAAAACAACTGAGATCGGTTGCTCTGACTGATCAATTGATGGGAACAATAAAGAGTAGTAGAAGGGCTGCGAATATCGAAGAAAAATTTGATTTATTCTAAGTGAAGTAGACCCAGAATTAAGAATATAAAATGCAAATGAGCTAATATAACTTATCTTATTACATTGCTAGAAAATCGTAGTAGAAGCAAGATAACCTTGAATAAACTAAAAAGGTACTAAAAAAAACATTGCATGAGTGCAATCTTTTTAACTAAGATTAGAGTCTTGAAATGATTTCTCTAGACATGATAAAAGAAATGGTAGTAAAAAGTTGAAAATTAAAGACATTATTGTATATGTTATAAATATAAAAAAAAAAAATGTGGAAGTTTTAGGAAAAATAGTTATAAATATGTTATAAAAGGACAACTTTCAACATATATTTCAAAGTTAAAGTGAATCTCACACAAAGCTAATGTAAAGTATTGCAATTAAATTTTCATTAACTGCAAACTAAGTTGCAGAAACTTTTAGCAACTATGATTATTTTCTCACTTTTATATAAAAAAGATATTAACCTGTTTGCATTTAGTTGGATTGAGTTACTTAAACTAAAAAAAAAGAATAGTAGTTGAAACTTTAAATAGGTATTGACATATTGAATCAATTGACTTCCAACCAATTAAACACTTTTTTCAGATCAAACCCTTTGTAAAGGTAAAATAGTGAAATTAAATAAGCAGTGAATGGCAACGCAGAGTGGAATAGATAAAGAATAGAAATAGTAGCAGTAAGGTAAAAAGAAAAATAATAGTAGAAAATAGTAGTAGAAACACATACAAAATTGCAAAAAAGTCCTAAAAACTGAATATAAATGTACTAAAAATATTTAATCAGTTTACAATCGAATCTACGTATTGCAACAAATCAGTAATCAACAGTTAATATAATGAATGAAAAACTAACTAAATTTCGATCAATTAAAACGCGACGGAATGGTAGTAAATAGGGAAATGAAATCATATTGAACTGTGAAAGTTATCTATGGACGTTTCAGAAAAATGTAATATTCTATACTTAATATTAATAATTGACGTTAATAATCCAAGCATGAAAAATAGTAAAAATTATTTTAAATTTCATCTTAATAGAACCTCAATACTTATTGCTCATTATAATAACAAAAGGAAAATTATTTAACAATATGTCGATTTTGTTGACGTTACATATGATTGAGTTTTATATATAATACGTTACGTAACACTTAAGTTCAACAATTTTATTGGGTTATTCTAAATATCGGGTTATTCAACAATTCACTTAAACACAGGAAAACACAAATTGCACTTAGATTTAGTCGAAAGCATTAACGTAAATCGAACAACTTTCAGGCAACCTACCGCACCGAGACGAAAAGATTAAATGAAATACATATAAAAGATGAATCAAAAGTAAATCTCGCTTATCTCAGATGAGATGCGCCACAGTCGACGCGTCGCGGCGTTCAACTGACAAAAGCTGCAAAACGAATCAGAAACTCCCAAGAACATCTATAGATCTGGGAGAATATTTGCGTTTCTCGTTTGTTTTTCCAATATCTTATGCTAATAAAAAACATAAACGAATTTCTCTCTCTTTGTTCCTCTCTCTCTCTCTCTCTCTCTCTCTCTCTCTAAAACTCACGCTCTCACTTTACGCTCTTTTAATTTGTGAAAAAAAAAATTATAAATAAAAAACAAAACAATTAATAAGCAACAGCAAACAAAGTCACTGCACGAGCGATGCTAAGATATATTAAGCAAATATTAGATTAAATATACAACAACAAAAAAACTGATCTCGGTAATAAAGAAATTTTAATGCGCTACGGAACAGATATAATAGTTGAAGCTTTGTTTACACGCCAATCAAATTCAAATAAGTACTCAAAGGGTGTGCACGACTAAAAGATACCCTGAATCCTGTCGAAAGGTATTATTCGATCAGTCTACTCAAATGCGTATAGACTCAATTTTACGTAATTAATTTTACATAATACTTTAATGATATACATAAAAATCAATATATATAAAAAAGACTTTAAAGATATAGATATATATTCTTAAGTCGTCTTAATCCGAAAATTCTCTAACTAAATCAATTATAGACTAACAGAAGCATTCTATATCTACACTACATGAGATTCATTCAAACGGAAAATCAATTCCAACAGAAAGTTTTATTATCATGTAAATTTTATTGGTTTATGAAGTTAATTCCAACAAATTATTCATGTAATATTATTACAATTATTGTATGCGGAAAAATGATATCCGACAGAATTGATAATTAGAGTGAATAATTAAATCAATCTATAAAAGGGACCTACAATCTATAAAAAATACATACATATCTATGGTAAATAGATATAAATATTAAATGTGTAAATATATTTGAAAATCTAAACCTATATAGAATATATTAGAAATATTGGGTAGCATCTAATGTCCAGCACTCAATAGTGACGTTGAAACCCTTTAGTTTAGAGCCAATATGCTCCTTTCTCCACGCCGAACGTGTATGTAATAATAATTCATGTGAGTCATAGACTCGAATGGGTAATTAGTTAAGAGAATGTAGCTTCTCACCCAGTGACCCACAAACAGTTCGCAAATTATGTTTACTGGATGTTTGCTTATCAATTAATTAGCCGTAATCAAGAGCAAATATTGATCACATCTTGAACTTGCTCTCTGACTCTCTACTCAGGTGTGTGCGTGTGTGAGTGGGTGTGTGTGCCCCATGAAGTGTTTACAAATTCAATGTGAATTCAACGTTTCAGCTGCAACAAATATTTAACATTGCTTAATTAATTTTAAATGTTTCCACTGTTCGCGCTTGGTTAGTTTCGCTCCACAGCTCCGTTCAACATTTATGAATAATGTGAGGCGTTGCCAAGTTTTGTGGCAGAGCCATTTTCTCACTTTTTTTACACACATTACGAAACGGTTAAATGGGGTGTATTGGTTTTGCCTGAAGGTTTGTAACAGGTGGAAGGAAGGCTCCTTCTTATATAATCAAGAGATAGAACGCAAGCGATCCTGAGATATTTATTTTATATATACATATATGTCTCTCTCTCTCTCGCTCTTTCTTTTCAACTGATGCATATAATATTGCCTAGAAATCTAGTAGCTATAAATATCAATCTTTTGCAAATTGTTTGATTAACTTGGAGATCAACTAAACTAGAGCCGCTAAAGTTGATATTACATATTTATTGGATATATTCATATGTGATAAGAGGATACACACACATGTCAGTTTCATTAAGATCCAACAACTGGAACCAGAGTTCAGTTAGTTTATTGCTCTTATTAGGTAGGGATTACAGAACAGATAAAGTTTCTGCAATGTGAATGTCTATGTATGATTCTATAGAAGAACATGCACTGCTTGCAATATTAAGTCTCTTTCCATGGCCAGGGTATCTGCTAGTCGTGCACTCCCCACCCGTGCACTTCTAGTAGTTTTTTCAATGTGACGCCCAGCTTTTCTGTTGCTTGAAACTTGAACATAAATTGCACAAGGTGTCACCTGAAGATAGCAGGGAGTATGTACAGCTGGCTGCATGGAGCAGGTGAGACGGCAAATTCAGTTTGTGGCCTGCAATTGCGATATTTCACAGAGTTGGAAAAAAGATTTTTATGAACTTTTGGGTTTTTCAAGTTGCCAAAAGTCATTAAGGCTCTCTCTCGCTCTCCCTATGGCAGCAACTTTAAAGATATTCGCTCTTATGGTCCTCTTTTTCTTTGTACACCTACCTAGCCTCTGATTATTACTTTTGATGTCCATTTGGTCAGCATTTACCTGTGCTTCACCTTAGTTTTTTTCTCGTCTCTTGCTGCCATTTTAACTTTCTTCATTTTCCACAACTCTAAAGTGGCTATGAATGAAATATTTTCTAAAACTTTCCCATGCAATTTCTTAGATGAACAAAATTTTTTGATTTCAATTATTACAAAACTTTATTCATAAACAACCAAATGAACTCGGAGAAGCAGCAGTTACACAAAACTAGATGTTTTTACTAAATGTTACACATGAAAGACGAACGGAAAGCAGAACTGAGGTTAAGTGAACTCTATTAAAATTGTATACTATGTGTGAGCTCTTGTTATATGATGAAGTCGGTTTTGCACTGTTATATATCTTACACGTTTATAATTTATTACTTGTCTCTACTCAATTTTCATCATTTCTTTCAGTGTAGTTCATAGTTGTAGTACTATTCATCATCTCTGATTGAAAACATGTTTTCCTTACGTAGCTTCAACCATTCAGTAAATTAAAGATATTACAAACAAAACTTAAAAAAAACTTTATTTTTAAATTATCTTAAGCTACAACTGTCATATGAAAAGTAAAGGAGTACCGAAAAAGCGCGACTAGCTAATACCCTGAACAAAGTTGCTCTAGACCTCTTCAATACACGTAAATATATACGCCGAATAAATAAGCAAAGCTTCATAGCTCTTAGAATTTTACTGGTGGAGGTTGGGTACTAGACCTACGCTTCTTATGAAATTCATGACAGTGAAATATCATTACACAACATTGATATTAGAACCGTTGTGGATTTTTTTAAATGAGGAAGGTATTCTATGCCAAATTAATGAATAATACATATAGTCATATTATGGTCTTTAAGTTATGCTTATAACGATAACAGAAAAAATGAATTTTGATCGATATTATGCAAATCGCATAGTATGTGGAAAAAAGAAATACATTTCCCCTGCATACGATATACAAGAATATGTTTTTATAATGTCTATGGTCTGTGGCTACTATAAGTCCTGAGATCGAAGTATGCAAACAGCCAACTCATTGGAAAGATTGAAAGCTAGATATAATGAGGTTGACTCAAGTAGCTCAACTAGCTAGAATAAGAATATTAGTATGCAAGGGCAACGTCTACTCATCATACCCCATATCAAACACTTTCCCAGGTAAATGTAAACGTTTACACTCGCACAATGAGCCCGCTTGGCCTCTTAATCGAGACACAGCTCAGATAGCTTTGATACAGATGCAGTCAGAGCCATTGCGGGCTAAGAACTCTGGCCCCGTCGGGGCAAATGAGTCAAAGTGAAACGAACTACTGTGTGCACAGGTATGTTTGTGTGTCAAGTGAAATGAGGCGGGCATCTGAGTGCTGAAACAGTTACCTATTCAATGGATAGACCAAAGGGGTTCGCTGATATAGTTACTATAACTATTTATTATGCGTGTGCATGTAAACATGCAAAGATGCACACATGCAGACATGTACATGTGTATGTGTGTATTTGTGCACTTGCATTTACTGCATGCGCATGCAAACGCATCTACATAAATGTAAATACATCTGCGAATGAATGACGCGCGGAGATGCAGAGTTTCATTTATCAACGGTTTGACTGCACGAAGCAAAGTAAATCACTTTTTATGCTCGTTCGAGTGGGTGGAGGAGGAGTATATTGGCTTTGACTTAAGCTGGAAAAATTGCATGTACTCGTGTAATTTTAATTGAAAAATATTTCAGATGAGTTGCATGAGCCCAGCCAGTTGAAGACGGGAATCACTTTGCGGGAGCTAAAGAGCCCTATTTATATTTAGTATATATGTATATATTCATAAGGATCAACGTGTTATAAAAACTTAAAGTTTAGGAAATGGAAAGTCGATTAAAGCAAATAGAATCATCTACTCAGGTAAGTGGATAGCTGAGCACACCTACAGAATCTAAAAATGGATATTAGAGTTCATATTATACATTTAAGAATGCAATAGCAAAAGGATTTTGGTTGATGAATAGCTGATAATTTACATTTGTATAATTTTGTCTATATTAAAGCTCGTCTCTTCCATAGTTTCTAAAGCTATGATCGCAATATTTCTCTTTAACTTTTACTCCTCCCTCCACAAACGAGTATTTAGCAGTCAGGTACTACCCCACCTGCGACTCGCTCACCTGCTCCAGTTTGTGCTTTAAGTACACAACCAGAAAAATTGTCTCGCAAGCTTAAAAGTATGCAACGAAGTTGGAATTTCTCATTTGCAGCCAAAGTTTTCGCTGCGCGTACCAAAAATGTTGTTACAATGCTTCCCAGTTGGCCAAAAACATTAACTGGGCATATTTAAACAGACTTCTGCGTGCTAATTTAAATGCGAGCTCTGGCGTAAATTATGCGAATATTATCAAAGCAAAAATACAATCGAGGGGAAGGCAAATGTAAATGCAATCTAACAATAATAATAATAGTTATTTTCCACAAATGCGCTGCTGTAACAGCCAAAAGGGAGCAAAACTTTGGCTGTGACTCGTTGCAGATGCGGGCGTAAGAGACTAGGAAATACCCAGTAAATAGGATGAGCTACATATATATTAGCTAATATATCACATATAATATAAACAATTTCGGAAAAATAATCATTATAATAATAAATAATAAGTATACCTGTAGCAATGTTATTCGAAAGGTTTCTCTTGTTAGCCGTGTACGATCGAGGCGGAGCCTGCGGTCGCTTTGGGACATTATCTCCCTGCCCAGCCAGAGCTCCGTCGAGCAGATGTTGGGTCTCGGGCTCCAGATCACTCAGTATGTGCTGGGTGACAGTCTCGCTGGCACGGCGCAACATCTGCACAGGTGTGGAATTGGACTCATGATCGCGTGACACCTTCGAATTCTTTGACTCATCCCCATAATTGCTGCGAAAACTTTTCAGTTCTGGCCCCTCGTTGCTCGCCACAATATCATCGACATCTAAATTGATTACAACTTGAATTTGAATGTAAAATGCTTCAGTCTAATTGTAAAATAACACCTATCAATTAATTCACTCACCACTTTCGCTATCCATTTCAGTCTAACTCATTAAACAAAGATCACGAAAATGTATGCGCACTCTTTCACACTCACGCAATTCAATGACTGATTGAAGACGAACAGACTTCAAATACTCACGCGAAAGAGCGCAATGACGAACGTAAGAAACACCCGAGCCAAAGAGAGCACACATGAACAAAACACCGTTATTGGCGCACTAGTAATTCTTACTGTCTATGGCGGCCGCAAAGTCGGCTATGTTCGATTAATTTCGGCAAAACGGATTTTTATTATTTTATTACACCATCAACCGCTTATGTTTGCTCGCAAATAAATTTCAAAGTTAAAGCAAACAAATATCACTGAATGTACACACGCTGAACGCGGAACAGACCCGGCGGCAACGCTTATCGACAAAAAACTATTTGCTAAATACATACATATGTACATACAAGCATGCACACGGTCAAGACAATCGAACTGTAGAACAAGCGAAAGAACAGTGTCTAAGGGTGACTCTGAAATACCCTGTACAAATTTTAGATTGTGGTTATGCGTAAAGATATATAAGTTTTTTTTTTTTATACCCTGAACCCATTGAAAATGGGAAATCAGGGTATAATGGTTTTGTTAAAAGTATGTAACAGGCAGAAGGAGGCGTGGCAGACCCCACAAAGTATATATATTCTTGATCAGGGCGACGAGCTGAGTTGATTTGGCCCTGTCCGTCTGTCTGTCCGTCCGTCCGTCCGTCCGTCCGTCCGTCCGTATGTATGAACGCGTCGATTTCAGAAGATATAAGAGCTAGAGACTTCAAATTTTTTTTAAAATGTCCGTANTTATTGCTAGAGTCTCCAAATTTTTAATGTATGCTTATATGCAATTTATACAATTTCGGTTTTTGTTAAAATTTACCCCCCACCCTTAAATTCACCCCCTCACCCTCACTTTTGTAAAAAGCGTATTTCAAATACTAGAGACTTGGGCTTTGGAATATACACACATATTCACCATATGATTACGCTCTAAAAGTTTCATTAAGATCGTATGTCTACAAAAGAAATTATTTAACAAATAAATTCTCATAATATTGCCCACACTGCAGCGCAGCCCAAGCGCAGTCGCTGCTTACTGCGCAGTTAGCAGAGCGCAGGCTTATGCGTGCGTGTGGATGCATGTGTATGTATGTGTGCATAAAAAAAGTGCAGAATAATTAGAATATCAGCTTGGAGGGTTCAGGGTATCTCCTAGTCGAGCAGTCTCGACTGGAGCTTTCTTACTTGTTTTTTTTTGTATATATATTTTAAGCGCGGAATCTGTACAATGCAAGTTTAGTACCTTAACAACACAATTCGAATTTTTATATAACACCTAACCTTCTGATGTATTCAGGAGGACTTACAAATATATATATAGAATTAGCAAAAATTCTTTCTCACAATCGGTGAATACTCGTGTTTCCCGCATAGACTATTATTAAAGGGTAACATAAGAGAGAGAAAAAAGAGTAAGAGAAATGGCATTTGCTATTGAACAAGTTGTTTGCTCATTTATATATGTGCATCATTTTTTTATGTTGACATTTACATTGTTTCTGCTGTCGCTTCGTATTAATACGAATACCAGTCCATGATCACACTTATTTAATAAAATAATATAGTTTATAGAATACTAAAATTGACAAACATACATACATACATACATAACAATAACTTTACTCCATACGAAACAACAAAAGACGTAGTAAGCTACACACACATACATGTATATGTATGTATACATATGAGTACAACTGCAATGAAGAGCGCGCCTTAGATCCCGTTGTGTATTCAGCTGGGCTTAACCAAGTAACGTGCAATGAGAGTGGATTGAGAGCAAGAGTGTTAATAGTAACGCGCTCTTTGTTGTGGTTATTGTCATGAGTGGGCCAGAGCAATCAGTCTGGACTCGTCTGTCCTGTTGATCAGTCGTGTCTGGTGAGCATGAATAAAATATGGAGTCCACTTAAAGTTATGCTTTAAATACGAATGAAAGAGTAAAAAAGCAAGACTAGTTGCATATATGTAAGTGTACGTGCATACATATGTACACATGAATACATAAATAAATAATCAAAGAGAAGCTCTCATCATTTTATTCAGCCACTCAACACAAATATTTGAATAATTCTAATTTACACGCATGCATATAGACTTTAGTTTTCTGCTTCTTATTTTATTGGAATTCGTATGTGTATTTTGAAATACTTATAAAAATATGACTGAATAATTGACTGAAATGTATTTCTGATGAAATTTTTTGCTCGCCTTTGAGTATACGCAATATTTTGTCAAGCAGCGGCAGCAATTTATTCAAATGGAACTGCGCTGCGCGTTCCGCAACTACACTAGCCATTCCACACACTCACACACGTATGCTACTGCCCGAGTATATAGATAAAAGCGTGTATATGTGTATGCATTCAGCTGTAATACATATGCATATACATATATGCACTAGTGTGTGTGTATGTGCATAGCAGAAACATTAATTTGCGTGCAAGTCAATTATCAGSAGCAGCAGCAGCAGTCTACATGTGTGGTTGTTGTTGTTGCGGTAGCTGTTGCTGTTGTTGCTTTTATGCAAATATAAAGGCATGAAAAAAATGAAGAGCGTAAAAAATAACGGCACCACGCATAAAAGAGAGCTGGAGCATAGTGCAGGACGGGAGCTTGCTAGCTGAGCACAGGCAAGCATTTATGTGTGTATGTACGTATGTGTGTGTGTGTATGCTTGTATCTAAATGCTTTTATTAATTAAAAATTCAGCTGACTTAACACATTTAAAATTGTGTTTTCACATATTTGAAATAATACGCAAAAATACAAAATAAATGTGTGTGTGTATGTGAGTATGTTTGTATGGGTAAATATAATTTACAAAGCACACAATTTATTAAAAAAATATTTTCCTTAAATACAAATCAGTTTATAACTGCTAAAAGGATGTTCGGCTATAAGCCTAGGGCTTATTAAATTATTTAAAATTGACTGAAAAAATAAAAAATAATAATAAAAGTACTATGACAGAAATTTATTTATTTTTTGTTTATATTAAATTATATATTAAATTTTGTATTTTTGATATTTTTTAATACAAATTCAGTTCATCACATGTGTTTTTTATTAAAAATTAAAATGTCTGTTTCTAGGTTCTATTTTCGCTTAACGATAATATCGAATCCTCTGCAATTGTGCTCGCCCTTGTCCAGCCAGGTGAGATACTCACCTGTGGCGCTTATCTCTGACCAGCTGCGCGTCAGCGGCTGAGCAGGTCCAAACCACTTGAGCTGCTTGCACGGCGACTCGATGCTGGTGTGGAACTGATGCTGCTCCCCATCGAGATGCCAGAGGAAGACCGCGTAGCGATTCGAGCTGATCCCCAGCATGGCCAAGAAGAAGCTGTGCTCTGTCACCTGTGCGCCTGCTGAGAGCTCACTCAGGCGCAGACAGATCTGTGCATCCGGCTGGACGTGCAGATGCAAGCGCTGACCCAGCGTGCCCGAGCTGAGGAGCGTGCCCAAGCCGTGCTCGGCGCGCAGATGCTGCAGCAGGCACTCCGTCGCGTCTAACGGCAGTTTCATTGCTGCTGATGTCTTTGGCAAGGCGCCCGCCTCCGGCTGCTCCCGCTGCTCCCGCTGCTCCCGCTGCGCTGCAGTTGACAATTTGTTGCCGCCGCTCGGCGCTGGCTGGAAAAGTTTCAGCTGTTTGCTGCATGATTTCCCAGTTGGGCAATGATAATTTTGATATTTTTCTGGGCCCAACACCTGCCCCGGACCCCAAGCCAGTCGCAGACCCACACCCACACCCACACCCCGACTCGGATCCAGACCAACTTCCAGTGCGCGCTCTTGCCCATTATTTATGTTTGCAACTTCATTGCTGTGCAATTCGTCTTGATCTTCGTCTGTAATCTGCCAACTTTTCTTACTCAACTTGAACTTTGGTTTAACGAGCATATTGTTGCCATCCTCCAGCTGTTGTTGTTGTTGTTGCTGTTTTTGGTCCTGTTGCTGTTTCTGTTGTTGCTCCTTCAGGACACTTTCCACCCTCAGCTCTTTTATCACGTTGACATTATTTTCTACTGGCGCACTTCCCTCATTTCCCACTGGCATTGCCCTAACCTCCTCTGCCGGCCGCTTCCCCACGCCCTCCCCTGCCACGCCCAGCTGCAGCTGCATCTGCAGCTTGCCCGCCTTCTTGCACTTTTTACTCGCATTCGATTTGGCCAATGCCATTTTTGGTTGATTATGATATTCATTTGTGCACTTGCTGCCATTGCTGCCATTGTTGTTGTTGCTGTTGTTGCCTTTGCTGTTGGCCATCGCATCATTCTTAACGGATTTCACTACAACAAATACAAAGTCAATTATTCCATTAAAATATATCAAATGATTTGCTATAAATTTATAATAAACTTTAATGTGTAGCTATAAAGGAAGGTGATATAAGGCTGGCATATACCCTATTAACCACACACACACACACACACACACATGCAAGTACACACATACAGGCCAACACATTCTTATACAACTCACGTATTCCTCTCTTTCAATAAATAATATATTGCATGGAATTCATCAATCCTCTGTCACATACATTGCCTGAAAAACAATATACCCGACCTACCATTGAATCGTCTACAGGGCAGAGCAAAAGTCTCCCACACTTAATTTAGCAGCAATCAAAACGCACAAAGTGCTGAGCGAATGAAACAGCAAAATTCCAGATTCTAAGTGAGTTCAACAAGTAAACAGAGCTGCTCTCCCCGCCCGGACGACAGAGGACACTCGGACAAGAGAGAAGAGACAAGCGACAAGAGATAAGAGATAAGAGATACGAGACTAGAGACAAGGGACTAGAGACTAGAGACATCAATGTTTTGTTTTCTGTTGTTGCGAACCCAGCATTAACTCGAGTTGGCAAACGTTGCTCGACCCTTATGGAAATGCACAAATTGAAAAATGCAGAAATCTGGCAGCAACTTCTTTGATAGCAGAACTCAACAAGTCTCGCTGCAGCTGGGGAGTGCCAGACTACAGAGATACTCTGGCAAAAGAGTGTGATGAGAGAGAGGCAAAGAAGGCGAGAAATAATGTAATATAGAAAGAATGTATATGTGGGAGAGAGATATACATGAATAAAGAATACGACATGAAATTAATTAAAGCGCGAGAGGAGGAGACTAAAAGACAGAGAATAAGAGAGATATAGGGGAGGAAGCACGACATGAGAGGGAATTCGAACAGACGAAGAAAGTGATGGAAAGAGAGAGAGAGAGAGAGAGAGGAAGAAAGTGTGTGTGAGACGAAGGAGCAAGAGAGAGAGAGAGAGAGAGAAAGATATGGATAGAAACGGAGAGATAGGGAAAGAATGAGATTGATGGAGTGGGAGAGAAAGTCTGATGGAGAAAAATAGAGAAGGAAGAGTCAGAAAATAAGTAGGACTATGATAGGGAGAGGGAAATAGAGTACACCTAGAGAGAAAGGCGAGAAAGAGAATATTACACAGTGAGGGAGAGAGAGAGAGAGAGAGAGAGAGAGAAAGAAAGAAAGCACCGATGAGAGAGACCGATAGATAAAGTAAATGAGAGACTGATACGAGACAAACCAGGATATAGAAAGACACACTGACGGCATAGCTATAAAAACTTTTCCGTACAATTGTTATCTAATGGGTATTTAGCTGTAGCGAAACATCTAACGACATCTGAAAACAAGGCAAACAGCAATTGGAAAAGCAGTGTCAAGCGTAAGGAACTGTTGGGCAGGGCAGAAAGCGTGAAAAACTTTTGCAATTTATGCAACATAATTATGCAACAAGTCTCAACTACAATAAAAATCAAATTGGAGTGGTCGAAACTGGGGAGTGCTCAACTATGAGATATCCTTGAAACCTGTGCAGGCCCAATCGATGTGAATATATGTATGTATATGTACAAGTACAACAGCCAAAAGATCTTCCCTATAGATTTAGAGACCAATGCATTCACAGGAATATACTGAGGAAGAGTTAGACGAACGGAAGGTTGAACGACCCAGCTGTCATCTTGATAAGATATATAAGGAATATATTTGTCTATACTACAGACTGGAATTACTATATATGTAGATTAGTTATACCTAACTTATAAGCTGTATACCTTTTTAAAAAAGTTTACAGGGTATACAACAGCCTACAAAACCAATGCAGCAGTATTATCCTGGATTGCATATGCCTAAAATTTAAGAGCCACGCCTCATTTGGATCCCTGTTAAGATGGTTGCTTAACCCATTTTCAGTAGACCCCAGGGTCTTAAAGCATACAACGTTTTGCTTGAATGATTCTTGGGCTACTTTTATTTATTTAAAATTCATAAAAATCTAAAACAAATTTCTTTGGGATTATGTCTCGCACTTAAAAGCGAACTTCGAGCGGCTATTTTTTTCTGTCGTACCCTTCTTTACCCACATATTCTCAGACTTGGGTGCACCTTGATACCTATTTAATTTGACAACTAAGCGTAATTTTGCAGCTGAAAACTTTTGCATAAAGCAATTGACAAATAGCGAGCCCTTCTAATGACATCTGTTGTTGCTCTTCTTCTTGTTCTGGTTCTTGTTCTTCTTTCTGTTCCAGTTGCTGCTGAATGGGGATTCGAAGTTCGCACTGAAGCAAGGTAAGCCCGCTGCTTAGGCTCATAATGGTCCGAGCCAGGACACATTATACTAATGACAGCGCTAATTTAGGCGCCATTTCAGGTAGATTACGACAAGTTGGCCCAAAACTTTTGCCCCAGCAACTGACGCACTGAAGACATATTAATAGATTCACTCGAAGACCAGCAAAGAAAAACTGGTCAGGGAGAGGTCAGAGCTACTCGGGAGTGCACGACTTACAGATGCTCTGCAGCTGAAATACAATACCTAATCACGAACTACCCAAACTATGTTTTGTCTCTCTACCACCATAGCCTTCCCAGCACCCTCCTCCTTTCCCGTCCTCTTAGTGACAAATATATTCCTAGATATAGCTAACAGCTAACACTCAGCATTGCAGTTCTATTTGTGGAATGACCATGAAAATGCATGTGTGAATGTGTGAATATATGTTTGTGTGTGTGTGAGTGCACGCATTGCTCAAATGCCAGAGTTACTTGACTTTGTCAGTTTCCCTCACGCTTTCCTTATCAACTTTTGTGTTTCTTAAGCGATTTTTATGAAATTTTTAGGTAATGCCTAAACAATTTTATGGAATATTTAAAAATTGAGATCACTTGAAATCAAAACTCAATTGTGTAGCTTAACTTAAATTTGAAAAATTTTGATAAAATAAAACTATAATGAAATCCGAAATTTAAATTTTATGAAAAAAGTAATTACCAAATTTAAAACTCTAACTTGTTAGATGCTTAAGATATATCCAAAGAACTAAAGTTTTCTAGAGCTTTAAAATAATATAATGTAATCCTTTGAGAGTGTGGGAATATGCAGAGATGATTATAAAGATCTCGAGCTTACACGCTTATACGGATGTTTGGATGGACATGATAAGGAATGGAAGGATAACCTGACGCTAAGAGCCAATTTGACTAGTCTATAAGAACATATACGGCTTAGACATTCCCTCCTTATCCCTACGACATACACGTTGACCAAACACCCATAGCCGAAACATCGCATTCTCGATACGTGCAGGGTAAGGGCAACATGTGGCACACTTTGGCCAGGTTGTTGGCCATTGAGTAGGGGTAGCTAGAAGAATCGACTTACCGCCGTCACAGGGGAAATTCTCGGCGAGCAGCGTAAATAATTTATCCGACAGCAGGCAGCGTCCGCGGGGTCCCAGTGGCACTCGGCAGACCGGACATTTTTCGGAGCGATTGCGACAATTATTGCATAGCACGTGCCCGTTGCAGCACTGCCAGCCAGGTGGCTTTATCACCTGCATTTGCGGAAGACAACAACAAAAAATATGCAATTATTCAATAAAAGCGAGACTTCACATCGTTCCAATCAAAACTTGTCCCATTCGGCAAGCAAACAAAATGTCTGAGATTCTCCAATAAAAGCAAAAATTTATTTCAATAATTTAAGGATGAAATACTTTACTTTTGAAAAAATGGCAAAATATTACAAGCGGATTTAAAATAATTCCCGCTTTTTAACCATTTTGTGCACAAAAACAGTTTTGCGCTGTTCAAGCGGCAAACGAAATTCTACAGAACTATATATATAAAGGTTGAAAAAAAAAGAACGTGCACACACAGAAACATGGGATTTGCTCACAAAAAAGTAGAAACAAAGCAACTGAAAACGGGTGTTATCGACTGCATGATACCCGTTAACGCTGTTTAAGGCTCTTTCTTTTGGAGCAATCTTTTCAGGAATAGGTAGTTCATTAAAAATCATTCTGATATATACAAACCAAACTAAATCTCTCTCTGTCTCTCTCTAGGTGTAATACATTTATAAGATGGTTCATTAAAAATCATTCTGATGTATAGAAATCAAACAAAATCTCTCTCTCTCTCTATCTATCTCTCTCTATATCTCTCTCCCTCTCTCTATCTCTCTCCCTCTCTCTATCTGTCTATCTATCTTCCCTCTATCTATCTATCCTCTCTCTATCTATCTATCTATCTATCTATCTATCTAACTCATTTCCTTTTTCTGTCCCTCACTCTCTCCCTCTTTCTTGTTCTCTCTCTTTCTCTCTCTTTAAACACACAATATTAAGCAAATCTGTAGATCTGAATCTGATCTATATAAAAACGATATATTACCTCACAGCTTTCCCTGTTCATAGCATACATAAGCTGAACAAAGTTAGTTTTTATGCTGTAGAGCATACATCAATAATCCATGGGCATATGCCCAAACCTCTCTAGTTTAAGAAACAATGGCATACCTGACTGTGGCTATACCCAATCTCAAGTCCCACTTCAGTGAAACATTAATTGCACAAAGCCAATATACCCTTCTCAGTTGATGAACGCGCACAGATATCGATATAGAAATTCAATTGATGCATTTTGTCAGTATTTACACACACACACACAGACAGACTCACAGACATGGTTATGTAATTCATATGTAGTGGTACGTGTTTCCATCTCAGCTACAAATATGCAGCAATAAAGATACAAATTTTGCTTGCAAATGTTTTTGTTTTTTTGTTGTTTTTTATTTTTCTGCTGTTCGTCTTCTTCTGGTATCATTTGGAAATATGAATTTCAAGCTTAACAAATGTAAAGCGATTTGCTTGCAATCAATTTAAAGGATTCCTCCTCAATATTATTTATATAGAACAATAGAATGCAACTGTTTTAAATTACATTAAAGGGCGGACAAGGAGGAATGCAGAATTTACATGCATTCGTACCTGAAAATGTTAAATTCTTCAATCTTTTTATAGAAGTTTAGGAATTTTCCGATTTAATTTCCATTTTATGAATTTTTATTCATAAATAATTTGTTAAGCTTATGAAAATGTAAATTTTATGCATATTCAATAGAAACGAAATTTCAATTTTGTATTTTATCCAAAGTCAACAAGGAATCAGCACTTTACCCACTGTCTCAAGTCATTGAGCTAGAAACATGCTTAAGTTGTTTAGAGCTGAATATTTGCTTGTCGAAATATTGAAAATCTAATGCAGCAAATCCCTTAATAACTTAATGGATTTGACTGTTTGCATAGGCAAATGGCACAGCCTATTAACATGCATATGCATGTCCTGGACTTGTGCGGGAATATTGGCTTCTGTATTTGTATGTGACGGGTAGGAGGAGGCGTGGCAGTGTGGATATTGTGGGCAAATTCTTTATGGCGATAAGGAATCGAATTGACAAAATCGGTTGAGTTTGTGTTCGTCTGAATAAATCAGTAGATCTCCGGAACTATAAACGTAAGAGATGTGGAATTCAATACATATTTAGCTGTGTATCATAGGTAGTATCGTACAAATTCTTTTTTACAATATCTCATTTCATTTTTGTAATATACATAAATATTCATATTTTGATTTGGTATTTTGAGCATAGCTTGAGGGCCTTTAGAGTTGAAGACATTTTATTGAGTATGTGATATCATTGTATGTTGTTGTTGTTCAATAAAATCGTAGTTCTAGAACTCGAGTTATTCAGGATCGGAAAATTCCGAAAAGTAAGTTTGAAACTGTTTGCAATGCTTGCATATCTATATACTAGAATGTTTCACAACTCAACTACAAGGTATTATTATAGTTGAGCACAATACCTGGCTTATAGATTGCTATCAAGTGTGGACAGCTCTGTTCAGCAAAGCCCGCCGCAAGCTGGCTTAAATGCGTAACTCAACACACTAAGCGCTATGACGCCTCCTCTCGCTTTTGAAAGGGTATTCTACATAAACAGATTTTAAGGCTAATAAACAAAATTATGCATGCAGTGTTAGCAGCAAAAGCAGGTGAGCGGGACATGCCCAGAGCTTCGTATTATGTGTATGTATGTGTGTTTGTGCATGCCTCCCTTGCCTCGCCCGTCCGAGGGACACTTTTGACTCTGGCTAAACTTTTTTCAGGTTTAATAAATTTCATTAAGAGATAACTTTACTGTATGAATGCAGTCTGCAAAAGGAAAACAAACTGCGCCAGACGAGAGCCAACTTTCGCTTTATGCTATCTAATTAATTAAATTTAGCCGCTTGCCACCTGACTTTCACCTTAAATAGCCGAAAAAGGTTCCAGCTTGAAAATTTGTATTTGGCATTATATTTGGGGCAGCAGCTGGGGCCGGCGCTGGCCTTTGACCCCAGCTGAATTGTATTGCCTGTCATGCCTAATCGACAATATTTGACTTTTAAATTTCGTAATCAATCATCGCACAGCATGCTCCATATATTTCGCCTAAGTGCCGCCAGCCAATAGAGCAAAACTAATCAAATCACATGCAATAGCAAACATTTATTAAGCAGACGAAATATTTGTGTATACAGCAAGCTCGACATATGCATGGCCACACACACACATACACATACCATTGTAGATATTAATATATCTAAATTGGGTTTCAATAAAATATTTTGAAGAAAAAAAACTAGTGAGCATGATTTGTTGGGAGTAAGCGACTACGAGATACCCGGAAGTACCTTTAAGTAGTCTGAAATGCTAGTAATAGATGATAGTAAATAGATAATGGAGATTTCTACAGGGGAGAGTTGGTATAAAATATTTTATACTACTAATTAAGTAGTCTTCTGTCTCGGACTTCAATGATCAAGTTGTTATAAGCTAAAAAAAATATAAGCTATACTGCATAGAGTAGGAATATATATTTTTCATTTCAAAGCTCTAGTTCCTGAGATCCAAAGTTCTCGAGATCTACAAATTTTGTCCTCATAGATGAGCCAAAAACCTACGTCTAACTGCTGATCAAATTCCTCATCTAGAATTTTAGCTTAAATGGCATTTCGTTTGCACATTACATTAATTCCAGGAGAAACATTACACCCTATTTAAATAGGCGCCATGATTATAGGGTATTAACAAAGACTTGCATGTAGGCAAGCGGACGAGTGTGGTTAAATTGACTTAGTTGGTTGCCCTTACGAAAAACATATTTAATTTATAATTTATATACTTTATTTACCAAGTTATTCTGCCACGCCCCCTACTCCCAGTTACATAGATGAGCCCAGAAACGTTATACCGTATTTGTACATAATCGAATTGCTGGAGGGAATGCTGCAATGAGATGGGCAACTTCACTCAGCTTGTGTGCGCCTTTTTCAGCCACGCCTCATTCGGCCTCTTACAAAGCCAATATGCCCTTTTTATCAATCTAATAGAGGATGTACCAATATACCCTTTATGCAAATTACCAAAAGGGATGCTATAGAAACTTGTGTATATATGATCAAATAGACAGAAATCTGTTTACCTTAAGAAGCCGTCTTTTAGCTGCTACTCATGTACCTATAAATACCATACCATATATACATTTTGCCCATCATCAAAGGAAGATAGGGTATAAAGCATATACTTATGTATAGATGAACAGGTCTTCCCTTACGTGCTACACAGAGTTTACTAATGTATTAACTTATACACCCAATTTGAAAAGAATACAGAGTATACAATATAGGATAATGTCTAGAAGAACAAGCGTTTCGAATTTACATGTTATATACCCATTATCAAAAGAGAACAGGGTATTACCTATAATATTATGTTTTCAAAGATCAGACAGATAGACAAAGTCGATATACCCATCAACAAAGGATTACAGGGTATACAATAGATACTCATGGTTAGGCAAACAGATTCACCAACAGACAAAGATCGCCCCAGCTCGCCACGCCTCCCCCGGGCGGACTGTGACGTGCAGTTGAACAAAAGCTCTATACCCTGCTTAATGGGGGATTCAGAAGGCTTACGTATACGTATATACGTATGTATATAGTTGAGCAGGCATATGTTATAGCATAGTTTGTGAGTGACGTCAAAGGGCGCCAGCGGGTGAGCGGGCATTAACTAACACAGCGGCAACAGTTATTTGTAGTCATGACGGCGGCGACAGGCTGTGAGTAATTGTGTAAACAAGCGGAATAGTGGTAGAGAGGGTGGAGAGGGTGGAGAGGGGTGAGGGGATATACCTGAGCATCGGGCGATGCAATCAGTGGATGCAGCTTGACGTTTCAACTTTATGCACGGTCAAGTGATTAGCAACGAAAGTTGCGCCGGGCAAAATCAACGCACAGCAGCAGCCGGAACGAGGACAACAAAAGGCAAACAAGCGCCCAGAAGCCCGCCCACAAGACCCGCCCTCCCCCCGGCCAAGTTCACTTTGGCTAAGTTGTATAATGACAAACTAAAACTAGAACTAAAAACCAACAACCGCCAACTGGCAACTGGCAACGGGCAACGGGCAACTCGCAGCCTCATCGATATGCAACTCACATGCGGCCCCAGGAGGAGGAGCAGTCACACATACATATATACTTATACATATACATACATACTGTGTACATCATACTTACATCACAGCAGACGGGACACTCCAGCAGTTGAGCAATATGTTGCAAGCATGTGGCAAACTTTTGCAGCGATTGTTGATTAATGCCGTGCTGCTGCAAGAGGGAAACATTCGAGTATAGCTGAGGTTAATCAATTTAGTATTTAGTATTTTTTAAATACTTGTGCTAAGCCTTGAAAGTTGGCAGCTTAGTTTGTAATTATGCAAAGGCAAATATTCAGAAAGATAAATTTAATAAGGCGGACAGGATTAACTAGAAGATACTTAAAACCTTAGATTTTCGGTTATTGAATGGAACGAAGGATGGATGGAAGAACGGATGGATGGACAGACAGACGGATAGGCGGATAACTAGAGTGAAGAAAGGATGAATAGACGGATGGACGAAATGAATGGATAGCCCGTTGAACAGACGGATAATCGCATAGATATCCGAATTTAAGAAAGGATAAAAAGACGGATGGACAGACATCCAGATGAATAAACGGGTGGATGAATGAGTGTATAGACCGATGTACGGATGAATGCACAGACGAAAGAATAAACAGACAGACAGACGGAACGACTARCGGATGGATAGACTAGATGATAGATAGAAGGATTGCAGACTATACGATGATTATATAAATGCTTAGATAGACGCATCCCTTTTATCGACGACCATGCCGACTCAGCCTGTAGTTGATCAACAATATATAAATAGGTTATACTTGAGCAATCTGAAATGGAAGTCAACGATCTTGCCAAGCAAGCTGCAAACAGGGTAAAATTTAATCGAATCGAATATGCACTCAATCCAAAAACTCTCGCATCTGGGACACCCACTGCAAGTAGTCCCCACCAACGCTCTCATGAACCAATATCCAAATGTGTGTCGATTGCCGTGAAACGCACTGATTACTGCATAGTATGAGCACCGTATAGACGTGCTGAAGTGCTTGAGCCGATGCCAATTGATTCAGCAAATGATTTCGATAACGCATTAAGTAGCGCCCGAACTAACCTTCACCCGAATGCGACTGCAATTTCTATGGGTTTGTGGTGCGAGCTGCCCAAAAAGTGGGTGATTGGATTTTGGACTGTGGGCTGGTCCCCATGCTTGCTTGTCATCTATAATAAGTCGTTCGAGTGCTTGTCAAATTTGGGTCAATTAAATTCGTAATGATGCACTGCATACAAATTGTAAAATTTAATAAAACATATATTTAGAAATGTTGTTAGCCAGACAGATAAACACCTGGGGCAGTCGAGGGCGGTGTGAATACAAATGACGCCGATGTAGTAAAAGATGCAGCCCCATTAGATGGATGGAAGCTCTTGCCAGACTGTGAAGCATTCAAGACAGATTTATTAATTGCTTCTGGCGTGAAGTGTGCTCTAGTTGGTCGTGCTTGACAAAGAGATACCTGCGGCTTCCTCTACACTCTTATATATACACGAAAATGTGTTTAGAATATCGCGTGCTTGACTGCAAGATACCCTGACCAGCTGCATTTCCCTCAAATCTCATCCCATGCCTGACTAAAAGATATCCATAGCATTTATGAATATTTACACAAAAATGAACTATGAATATTCCATACGAAAATTTCACTGAAAAACCAAGAAGAAGTAAGTATATTTACCGATTTAATGGAAATGAAAGGAGCAATCCGAGAAAAACTTTTAGCTTATCCTGTGCATAGCATAAAGGAATCTGTATATCAAATTTCATTTCTCTAGCTTTTATAGTTCTCGAGATTTATATAAACAGGCGATGCAAAGCCGTATATTTACTTTCTAGTATTAATATATGATATTCTTCAGTCAGTTGCATGTCTGTTATACCCTGACTAGCTTTGCTCCAAGGGTATATGCTGTAAATTATAATTGCTGACTGGACAAGACTTGAGCATAGGAGGGGATATAAATATTTGATCTAAATCTGAGATGAGACAGCTACAAATGAGTAAAATATGTCATTTGCTTGGCACGACTACAGTGAAGTCTACATTAATGGACTTTAATAAGTAAATAAGAATGCTTCAATAACAGCAAAACCCTATTAAGAGAATAGCTCAATGGTTAGGCGGAATCGCTTCCATGCGATGACATCCACTCAGTGTTTGTTTCATTCCCCTATCAGTCCTTTCATTTCAAGATCCTTCCTTAAACTTACCTCAACATGTGCCGCCTCCTGTGAATCAGCTGTCGTCGGCTGCTGTCGCCACATCAGCATGACCACGTGATCAGCGCCTGTTAGCCAATGCTCGCGCAGTCGCTTGGCCAGCTCGCTGATCCGCAGGCCCAGGACATCTCGGCCATTCAGCTGCAACAGGGTATCTCCGATGCAAATGCCACCCAATTGGGCATTCGAGTCGCTCTGCACACCGCTGACCCACGGATACGGATCCCAGGGAGCACGACTCAAATTCAAGCCCAGAGCACCGGTCGGTGCCTTGACAATGCATTGCTGCAGCATAATCTCCGAGCTATAAAGCAGAGTGAGAAAGAGAGTCTATATAAATAAATATATAGTATGTTTGCTATGTGTAACTACCCTCCCTGTTGACACCTTCAAGGGCGCACGTTCAAGACATTTGAAGTAATTTATATATTAGCTTACGCATGGACAGCGCAGCGAGTGGGCTTACCACATCCAAGGATGCCTCAGCTGTGGGGGCCTGGCTGACTGACATAAATTTTGGCTCATTTTCAACACCTCAAATGTGTGCCAGACGTGCAGACACACACACACACACACACACCCACGCACACTCACACACAGACGGTCATAGGTAATATCAAAACACATTCATATAATATTGGAAAACCAGTGAGAGAGTGCCTCAGTCAGCTCCCGACTGGAAGCTACTCCAATGCTTTAAGTTCTCTAAAGTGGAATATCAGCAATTAAGAGACCTTAGGTATATATTGTATGAAACTGAACTCGATGATTCTGCTATGAAGGTAGGCAATTTCTCAAGATTTTTTTGGTATGTATCTAAAATTCTTAATACAAATAATCTTTCTATAGCTTACAAGAATCTGCATATCAAATTTACAAATAAATCGAAAAATCTTTACATATAGATATAATAGGAATACTATACTCGAGCTCTCGCCAAAATAATTTCTATATTTATTGACATAATAGAAATGACATGCGATATTGATTAAAACTAATAAGGTTTCAATACGTCTGTTATATATGAAGACATAGTCCAAATTTCAGGTCTCTAGCTCAAATAGTTCTCGAGTTCAATGAGTCTAACGAGAAAAGACAGCAGACGAATAGACAATATCCACACCAAAGCAACTCAACGCATCGCCCACTGCCGCCTCTCACACCAACAGCACGACCTGCTTACGCTTCTCCCATTGCTACAGGGTATATGAATATAGAGCGAAATGAATGAAAAGCCGTAGTTTTAGTTTGAGACCCGCTTCAAGGTTCGCTTTGGCATGCAGCGCACGTAGCAAACGCTTGCGTACCTCAATCAGCGGCGTTTTCTATTTCTTTTCGGTTCGAGAGGGCGCGCTGCTTATAATGTTTGCACCTTGCCCAAGCACAATTAATTAGCCGGCTGTTGAAAGTTGGCACGAAAGAACTTTGCCTACTGTTCGAAATTAAGCATACGCCGCATTAGCCGCAGTTGCCGCAACTGGCAGCCAAAATAGCGTCAAATTGCGCACATAAATCAAAAGTGGTGGCAAAACTTTGGCATTGCAATCACTGAAACAAATACCAAAAAAAAACAACAACAAAAAATCAAATAATGGAACGCATAACGAATTAAATCAATTAAGATCACCAGGTATAGGCATGCATACATACATACATACATACATATTCGTATATACATACATACATCGCAGCCGGAACTGAGAATCGAGAGTTGCTGTAATTTGTATGAATGAGTCGCGGCGGGCAACGCGAGTTCAAGTACATCAAGTATACGCAGTAGAGGCCGCTCTCAAACAGCATCCGCAAGAGCTGCTGAATGCTGAGAGAGCAAACGCGACTGATAAATACCCTGTGCCCAATCTATTGCAGCTGATGAGAATGTATGAAAATTTTTATATACAAAATATTTAAATTACCAATATAAAAACTAATAGACTATTTGCATACCGTTTAAGAAGCTATATAGAAATGCATAAATTTATTTATTTTGATAGTGTTTTATGCAGGGACGCAAATCATGTTGTATGTAGTAATGAGAAAAGTTATTATATGTAAAATAATATATACGAATAATGCAGCTGAATTTGTTGATAAATAAAATAAATAAAAATGCCCATAGGCTACACAATTTAAACTTTTTGTATACCCTGTATTGAAATTGAAATATTTGAAAAGTTGACAAACCTAGAAAGTTCTATTATTTGACAGACTCAATTCCGCAATCTATAAAAATATTTTACAATTGTTATATAGACCTTGGTATACCCTGTACACAATGTAAATTTCTGGAAATTGTCTGAAAATCATCTATGTTATTTAGCGCATCTTTAAAATCTTTACATACCCTGTAAAATTGTATATGCCAGTGATATAGATGATTTATTTTTCTATAAAATTTTAATAAACAGTTCTATCATGCAGAGTTTCGATAGGCGTCGAGTATGCTCGACTAGAACACACTTAGCTATTCCGCACAGACTTCCATTAATATTATTTCATAATTATAAACTATTTATTACTTCTTGATTTGGCAGGCTACCCATTTAGAGGAATGAAAGATTCAATAGTGAGCAGCATTCACACTCGCACACACATGCATACACATACATGCATTCATATATACGCAGTAAACTTGCTTTGGAGTTAAACGCGCTTCCACTTCACTTCTTGTTGGCATTGGCCATGAAATTTCTGTGACGTCAAACGCGTTAACGCGTTCGTAATGGAAAGGTAAAGCGAATGTCATAATTAAAGCGAATAAAACTTGAGCAAAGGCATTGCCCAAACTGTTACGAATATGGTAAAGCGAATTTAATTACTTAAGAGCTTAACCGAATAATTAAAGCTTGTCCAGAGATAAATTTGTTGTAAGGTCCATGCTTATAGATGTACTACGAAATAGATGTGCTACGAAATATGCCAACTATAAAATTAGGTAATACTCAAAAGATTGTGAAGAATATAGGATGGTCCTTATGAATCAGATCACCAATAGTCGTGAACCTGTGTCTGTATCTACGATATCTCATGATTAATTTAAATCTATATAAAGATCAATTTAATAATAGGTGTTAAATACAGACGAAATGTGGTCTAGCTGTACTGTTGTTGAAGGCACTATCTTAGGAGCTTGCTACGCCCCGTTTACTAATAATATAATATCGTTATGTAAGAATGGTCGATACAAGCTCCTATTATATACTTCACTTCTCTAGCTCTCATTGAGCTCAAGATATATTCGAATTTATATACTAAGGTCTAGATATACCTTCTCAAGATTTTAATCGGTTTTCAATATAATACATAAGTATGTCCAATTCCGAGACTCTTGCTGCAAAAGCAATCGAAAGTAATATATAAAGCAAATATATTGCAATTCACGTTTTTGCACGCCCCCACTGGGTATATTAGACGAGGTCACACACGCTTAATCACATTCCACATCAGTTTTCAACATTCCACACACCGAAAAACAAAAAGTATTACACAAAACCAATATACCCATCTTCACTTCACGAACCAATACAATAACAAGCCCAGTTACTCAGGTGAATGTCTTAAGTGCAGCACTAATTAGCCGTTATAAATCGGCTCATGATGCGCTCCAATAATTCCCAATTCAAATTTTTATATAAATTGCAACATTTACCGTTATACGTAATTTGTTTGGTTTCAATAACGATTTGATGTGATTTTTAGTTCGGAAGCAACAGCTTCTAAATGAACTAATCAGTGACGCGCGCGTATTACAACTAAAGCAACGGAATTGTTAGCCCAACAGCTGACAGCAACAAAAATAAACAGCTGTTGCAATGTAATGCAAGCAAAAAACAAGAAAACAGCAAATTACACATACACACACACACAAACTCGCATGCAAGCAAAAGATATGCAAACAGACAAACATAAATAACCCCATACATACATACATACATGTATGCACACACACACGCGAGCACATGCGTGCAAGCGAAATGAAAAATACACAAACAAACATACATACCTAAATAACGGCAAATATACATGTGAGCAAATGAGTGCAAGCAAAAGATATACAAACACACGAGCACATGTGTGCACATGCGTGCATACGCGTGTATATCTGTGTGTGTGTGTGTGTGTGCGCGCGTAAAATTAACAGTGATTTTTTTTTTTGCCGCTTTCGTTTTCAGCCAATGACCAGCAAGGCGAGACAAAATAAAACAACAGCAGCAAAAACAACAACAGCACGCGAGCATTGCGTCACCGTTACACAAATGCAGCAACAACAACAACAATCACAAGACGCAAAAAAACCCGAAACAAAAACAAAATACAGCGAAACGCTCGACAGAGACCCAAAAACCTCAAACAGTAAAAATTCGCTGCGCGCATGCGAGCAGCGCAATCGCAGCCTACTTCGACAGCAATTACAAATGCATACGTGTACACAAGTGTGTGTGTGGTGTGTGTGTGAGTTTTTGTTTGTCTGTATGTATTTATTTACATAAATATTCATAGTAATTGTTGTTTACACACATTTCAGTTAACAAAAGCAACAAATTGTTCGCATTGATTTGTGTAAAAATGGTTCCTGTTCCTATACAATTTGGAAGCCGGCGAAAAATGAAAAATTATTAAAATAACAAACACTCTTTAACAAAATTGAGCTACTTTATGCTACAAGTGTAAGCTGGTATAATAGTTAACATATTTCTGTGTCTGAAAATCGCTACTGCTTTAAGTATTTTATCGAGCTATGTAATACATATGTATAACAGTTTACAATAAACTAAATATTTGAATAAATCCCCATTATTTTTTAAGAATAATACTTTCATATCACTTGAGCTTCGTTGTACGGTTTCAGTACGGACAAATGTTATTTATATAACAGTTTTTAACTTTCATATATCAAAAGTGAGCTATTCTGTGCTTAAGAATTATGCATCTATGTTGGCTAATATGACAAAAACAAAAAAAAAAGAAAAAAAAATTTACTAAGTTTATTAAACATAAATTAAACAAATTTTTGTAGGCAAATGCATTAGTATAATAATTTATGAACTTTGATTTCTAGATCTAGATCATAAAGTGGCATATTTCTGTTATAAATGTGTTAACCACTTTTTTATATTTCCAAAATACGCTTTTACACATGCTTTTACACAAGCTTGCTTTACTGCTTCGTATAACAGTATGTTACGCTTGCTAATATTCCAAAACGTTATACCCACTTAGATGTACCACAGAGTGCCTCATCTATATAAACAAAATTATATTTTTTCCGCTTCATATCACGTTACTCTCGCGCCCAAAATCTTTGTTGTCCAGTGTAATCAGATTGCAGCAGAGCTTTTCGTATTAAGACACTAGCGCGAAGGTCATTTGCTTCATTAATATAAAGTCTTTGTGATTAGCCAAGAGAGTTTAATGACAGCAGAAGAGGAGGAGGAGGCGGAAGAAGAAGGAGACACAGAACAGAAACTCACATACACACACACAAATGATAAATGTATTCAAATTTAACAGCTGATTCCATGGAATTGTCCACTTTTCTTTCAACTTACTGAATTGTTTGAAACTAATTTATTATTGCTATTATCGAGTGGTGAGCAGCACACGCGAAATTCGTGCCGGCACCACAATTCCACTTCCACTTCGCGTTCAGCGTCACCTGCGCAAACTCAAAGAGCTAAAAGCGAACTGCGACTTCGCAGCGCCACACAAAAGTCGCAGTCGCCAAGCTCAGCTCAGCTCAGCTGACCTTAGCTTTAAAGCGCCATCTGCAGAAAGCTTTCGATACCCTGGGCACGGTTGAATATTGTGCGTAAGCTGGGTATATTGAGATGTTGCAAATTCTGTAATTGTAGTGAGTGACAATATAAGGAGTGTTTGCATGATTGAGCGGGATCTATAGCTATAGAGCCTGTTGGTCTATCTGGGTATTCGGCTGTTTAAATACATTTATCTCGAGAACTACATGTGCTAGACACTTGAAACTTGCAATCTTTATCCTTGAATATCGCACTAAATACTCTTCCTTAATTTCTTTCCAATATTCCGACTCATTTTTGGGTGTCAATGATGGTTTATGGTGTATAACTTGAAGACCAGTAAAGCTAGAGATATCAAATTAGGTATTTAGAGTTATCTGATAAATACGAAGATTGTAAGTAAACTTCTTTTCAGATATAAATTTAGTTTTGATAAAAATGTATATTGAGAAGTTAATTGTTAAAAGTAGAAACTTGAAAATTATTATGCATACAACTTTTACTACTCTAATCATATCTTGAAATTTGCAATTCAATCGTACGATTAGAAACAGAGTTCAATGAAACCACTTTTCATTACGGCTCGCTCTACGGAGAACAAGAGCATCTTCTACTCCTAGTAAGCCTTGCTTGTGTATGTGTGTGCCCATAAATATGTATGTATTTCAAGTGGGCGCATAAATCTGCACATATTCCATGCGAAATCTGCTTTTCACTCGGGTCAGGGTATCTACCAGTCGTGCATGTACTAATCTTGACTAGTCTTCCTCTTGCTAATCAAATTAGAAACATTTAATAGTATTATATTTTCATTCTTTAATTAAATCGTTTCATTTGTGTTTTCCCATTTAATGCGATCCTTAAGCAATAAATATTTCTGGCAGTTTACTGTACTTTGCCAATAAGTGGTTCGCCTTCGGATTAATAAAAACTAATTGTTGTTCGAAACGAGCCAATTGAAGACATGAAATTTTATGCTCAACGCTGCGGTAGCTGTTGCCTTTGACAGAGACAATGATAGATGTTTCTGTGATATACATATGTATATATAATATATGTACATATATTTGGTAAGCAGCTTCCGTCGTCATCTCCAATTTCAAGTGCAAAGCAATATCCATTAAAGCTACAATTTAATTCCCTATATAATTTAGGAAAATTAAATTAAATTCATATTAAAAGCTTGTTTCGAGTTCTTAGTTGAGCTTTGATAGACTCTACGTGCCTCATATTCCCTCACTTCTTCCAATCATTACCAGCACTACCGGCTATACCGACATACATACATATGTACATGTACATGTGTTTTCTGCTACTCGCCCAAGCAGAGTATATTGGCTTTCTACGAACTACTTATGTATATATATCATATCTGAGACCATCTGAGACCTACTAGTGAGTAATAGTAGTTAAAAAGTATTCATATAATGCTTCTACACTTCAAATAGCATTAGTGTAGGGTAACTATTAGCCTGGGTCAATGTTAATAGCTATATAATTTTTACAAATAACCTCGATCATCAAGTTTTATGACTGAATTTTTAATGAGATACAGATGGATAGAAAATAAGCTATAAACGCCTACCGAAGGCGTGGCAAATCGTAGATACTTATGTATGTCTGTCTGTCATGCAGCTCTTGAGTGAGGCCCATCTAACGTCATTGTAGCTCTCTGGAACTATTCCACAAATAGAGCTATCTGAATCAACCAATAGTTAAAATTTGAAAATATAAATAGATTTATACAATTTCAGTTGTTTGTTGCCTTACGAACGAGTAATATGCAGTCGAACCCTCCCGCCTCCGCTTGCTAACAATATATAAAGCCGACCAACTGTTCAAATGTTACAATGACAATTCGATTCGACTCAAGCACTCTTCGGCAGCTGAAATGTGAATGCTAATGGATTTACCTATAGACTTCCATAGGCCCTACGAAAAGCTCTCTGCGAATGCAACGGTTAGCGCTAAACGAGTATTTCATAAGAAAACAAAAAACTCCACATATGGATGCTGATTCGCTACCAGCACAGCGAGCGAGCGAGTCAGTGAGAGAGAGGGAGATAGAGAGTAAGAGACTGGGATAGCTCATCTAAACAGAGAAGCCGAATGCAAATCGAGAGTTTAGTATGTTTTGGAGTGAGCGCGCGATAGGCACGAAACGATTTAGATGCTCCGCAGCTCGAGTAACGCCAAAAATAGGCAAAGAAATAAAGCGCAAAGCGAAACATAACAAAATACAGTTAACCTTAGGCAGGCAGCGAGTGAAGCGCGCGTTACACGTGTTCGATGCAAGCGAATAGCATAAACACAAAATCCACATCCACATCCCCAGAGCCAATGGCAGCCAGTCCTGTGGAACGCATTTCGACCGTGCGTCTGCTAAGAATCCCGCGCGCTGCGCCAAAGATTGAGGCATATGGATTTCGTTTGACGCGCAGCAAATGGGATCCATATCCTTGGGTAATGTTTTTCACTCAAGCTGCTTTCTTTTTCTGCGGTAACTGTTATTTTTTCCGTTCTATTGTAGGTGTGTGAGGTGGCCGCTGGCACACCTGCATCGCTGCGCGGTCTAAAAGCCGGTGACTGCATTCTGAAGGTCAGTCTGGTTTATGCAAATATTTTTCAATTTAAAATTTTGTAAACATTAATCATTTAGCTAACAATTCTATATATAGCCAACTTTTACTTGCACACGCAATTTGATATCTCTTAAAAAACTGATTACTTCAAATTTATTTTAACTGTTTACATAGCCGCGATTTGCCACAGATTGCTCTCTCTGTCTCTCTCACCCACTCTACAGCATGTGTGCTGAAGTGCTTACGACAGCCGTTAAAATTGTATGTTACGTTAACAGCTGTCTGTTGCTTAACAGCGCTGGCCTTTTAACAGCACCTAAGCAGTGTTACTGCTTAATCAATGCAACAAGCAGTTCGATACAAACAAACAATGTGTTCAATATGTAAATAGAATACATCTTAAAATTAATTATTCGATTAGGTTCCACAGGAAATAGAAAAGATTTGGATTCCACAACATATTTTTGAGTTATTTATATTATTATGTAAAATTATTGTTGGTAGAATTGAGTATCTCTCCTACATAAAGTAAATCGGTTTTTGTATACTTGCCCCAGTTCCGAGAAATTGTTTTGCTAGGCTGACCTAGGGTAAATCTTACAAATGTTATATAACTTCTATTTGTAATTCCAGATTAATGACATAGATATTCTCGGTATGCGCATAGCTGACGTAGCTAAAATAGTCAAGAGCCGCAAGGATCAGGTGACAATTCTCTGCTGGAACAGCAACTGCCAGCTGGACAGCGAAGAGAACGTAAGTAGGAATTCTAATACAACGGTATTATTTTCTAATAATATCTCCAATCACTCCCAGACTATCTGCTGTGTGCCCATGCCAATTGCCCTGAAACGGCTCGTCATCATTGTGGACAACATTTTGCGAGTCATCGAGTGTCCAGTTTGTAGATCTCTGATAACGCCGCCAGTTCTACAGTGCCAGAACGGACATTTGCTCTGCCTCGAGTGTCGCATTCGCACCGAGACGTGTCCCATTTGTCGTGGATATTTCACGCCGATTCGCTCATCCGTGGCCGAAGAGATATATTCGGTACTCGCTCTGACCTTCGAGCGACTCCTGCCCCAAGGCAAGTTTCGTCAACGGTTCTTCGCCGATTTCACTTTGGTCAAGGAAATCAACTGCGAACGTTGCTCGCAGCCAAACAGCAGGAAAACATCTTCCGGTTCCTTGAAGCACGCAAAGTTCCTGGACAAATTCTTCACTATCCAAGCGACTCATCAAATAGAGCCCAGTCTGAGCTCAAAGGAAATGCACACGGCGTACCGACAGCTGGAGCGGGGCCACGAAAACATTTCCAGCTGAAAATGAAAGAATCAAATTGAAATAAATTAAAAATTTATATAATTTCTTGTGAAACTGTTTCATCTGAGCTCAGACCTATTTGAGCATATTGGAAAGGATTTTAGTCTATAGCATGCTTCACTTTCAGTTCCCCATACCCCATACCCCATGGAACCCTGTCAAGATACAAAATAAATTCATTACAGAAAACAATAGAAGACAATTGTCAAGCCACAAACCACATTATATGTATGTATATGTATATACTGCATATACATATGTATGTGTACATGAATGTGAGAAAACTCTCTTAAACCACAACTGACTTTTCCATGAAAAATCAAACTTAATACTCACTTGCATGTTGCAACACGTCTCTGGACCTCAGAAGAAATTATTCAATATTTTCTGCTGTCAATGGCAGCGCTTACAACAAAAGCTTCGTTCAAAATGCAATATTATAATATATAAATGTAATTATATGTAAAACAGTCTTGACATTTGCAACTAAAAGGAAAAAGAAGTGTTGCCTCAAGCAACAACAGGTTGACTAGCAAATACCCAGCAAGCTGCCTAGCTTTTCTTTACTCCTTTTGCTAGTGTAACAGCCCTACTACTACTACTACTGTTAGTACTACTACAGCTACTACTACAACTACAACTATTACTACTACTACTACTGCTACAACTACTACTACTGTTAGTACTACTACAGCTACTACTACAACTACAACTATTACTACTACTACTACTG